GGCTCCTGGGAGGACAGCCGTGGGGGGCTCAGGGCTGTGCCAAGAGGGTGAGGGTGGGGTACACAGGGAGCCAGCGGGCATTCGAGGGGCACCAGCCACCCCTCTTCCGGCCCCTGAACAGCCCTCCAGGTTCACCACCCTGCCAAACCCCATGGGCCACCAGCCACCCAGAGGACCCAGGTCCCCCGGGACAGGGCCTGGCTGGCCCTTGGTGCCTTATTTTGGGTCCCTCTCTGAGGGGGAGAGCCGGCACCTTTCTGTGCAGTCCCCTCCCGAGCAGGGGAGGTGACTTTCCAGGTGTGAGAGGTCACCTGGCTTTTGACAGCTCCCAGAGCTTGGTTCTCATCGTTCGCTGGCCCTGGAGGCCAGGCTCTGCCACGGGACCCGTCATGTGGCGCTGGAGGAGCCCAGCCGAGGGAGGCAGATGGCAGCTGACCCAGCCTCCAAACTCTAGTCCAAAGGTGTGCCCGAGCGTCCAGGGGACAGTTCCCAGCTCCCCCAAGCAGGAGCCCAGGACAGGCTGTTCTGTTCGCCCTTGATAAAGCCTCAGAGTTTGAGCCATCCTTCATTTTGTCCTTCTGGCAAGAACCACCAACCAAGCAGGGAGCTGGTGGCTCACGCCTGTAATCCCAGCTACTTGGGAGGCTGAGATTGGGAGGACCAAGGTTCGAGGCTAGCCCAGGCAAATAGCTTGAGATCCCATCTCCAAAATAACCAGAGCAAAATGGACTGGAGGTGGGGATCAAATTAGAGTACTTGCTTTGCAAGCGTGAAGTCCTGAGTTCAAATCCCAGTCCCACCCAAAGGGGGGAAAAAAAAAACCCAGCTAAGACCTGTGTAGAGGCAGCTCTAAAACTGTCCACACACAGCCAGGGACCCCAGGGTTCCGTCTGAGTGCGTGCTCCCTGGAATACAGCACGGGAACTGTGCAAAGGGGTCTCTTCAAAGAGGGCCGGGGAGGGGGAACTGACACAAATGTAGGGAGACAGAGCTGCTTGACAGTTTTCATCTCTTCCACTTGAGCAGGGTTCCCTGCTTTCAGAGTGTCCCGACACTCCTCCTCGTGACCTCATTTGCCCCTCGCAATAACCTGTGCCTGTGAGAAAGCAGGGGAAAATGGTCATTTCTTGGCCCAGAGAGGCCAAGTGACTGACCTAAAGTCACACAGCTTCTTGAATTGAGTTTTATCCTGTGCTCTTTTTTTTTTTTTTTTCACTACTCCAGGCCTTCATAAAAAGAACAGACATGCCGAGGCCTGGCAGTCTGTGTGACAGAATGTCGAGCAAGTAGATGTAAGCGTGAGATGGAAGACAGGGCAGCTGCAAAGACCAGTCCCAAACTTACAGGAATAATTGGTGCTCCACCCACTGGCCGCTCCTTTTCTGCCTGGCTCTTCTGTGACAGCCACTTTCAGGAGGAGAAAGCCATAATTATGTCCTTGGGGTGGCAGAACAGTGAAGGGACATGTCACGGTGCTGGGGGGATGGCGTCCTGCAGCGAGAAGAAGCAGAGTTTGAGATGTCACCATGTTATATTTGGAAAACTAGAATTCAGTACTGCCTGGGGACCCACAGAAGCTCACCAGACCCTTTTTGTTTGGTTGGTTGGTTGGTTTTGGCAGTACTGGGGCTTGAACTCAGGGGCTACACCTTCAGCCACTCCACCAGCCCTTTTTTTGTGATGGGTTTTTTCGAGATAGGGGCTGGCTTCAAACCTTGATCCTCCTGATCTCTGCCTCCTAGGAGGCAGCTAGGATTACAGGCGTGAGTCACTGGTGCCCAGCAACAAGATGACTTTCTTTAATCTTGGTTTGGCTACAGCATTGCAACAGCAGCCTCTGGCCTCAGTCACGGCCCCTCCCTTGCTGTCCAGCACTGGGCCGCGTGGCATCGCCACCGCCGTGGGTCTCTTCTCCCCAGTTCCTGCTAGGCGTTCCATAAACACACTCTGCCACCGAGCCTGCTCCTCCTCTCCAACGCAAGTTCAAGGACAGATTCCTCTGCCTCTTCCTTTCTCCCCATGGCCGCCTCCCAAGCACTTCCTGGCAAAGCTGGGGCAGAGCCTGGTGAGCCTGGCTGCCTCTGCCTGGGTGACCGCTTGCTGTTGCCCGACACTGCAGCCACCCTCTGTTCTGGAAAGTCTCTTTCCTTCATTCATTTTCTTATTAGGACCGAGCGCGGTTTTACCGATCAGTTTTTACGTCCATGTGTGCCTTGCACTGTGAACTTAGGAGGCGGTGGAAGTTGGGTCTTTCTCACACATACCTGCTACACTGATGCTCCACGTCTCAGACCTCACAGCCTGCTGACCACCCGGGCCTTGTCCCTGCAGACAGGCAGCAAACACTGTGAGCGGCTGCCCGGGACCATGTCTGGCCTGCCCCATGGCCCTGACCGAGGCCCCTCCTAGGCCTCGCAGCCCCTCAAGCTTTGCTAGTCCCGTCTCAGCCAAGGATCCCTTAACCCTCTCCCCGGGGAGGGACTGGACATAAAAAGGAGGAATTATTCAGTGGGGCTGGGCATAGTGGGGCATTCCTGTAATCCCAGAATGTGGAAAGGCTGAGGCAGGAGATCACAGGTTCGAGGCTAGTCTGGAGGCCCTGTTTCAAAAAACAAAAAAAGAGAAAGGAAAAACAAAAGCATTATTCAGTGGCCTTAAGCGGGGGAGACAGAGTAAAGGAGAAATGCATGTGAAAACAGGAAGACGAGCAGGGTACCAGGGATCGGTGGGACGTCAGAGACCCTCACTCCATAGGTCTCACTTGTGATTCTTCTTTCCCTGGGCTGGGGGCAGAGAACAGCAGGTAGGCAGAGTTCAGGAGACGGTGCTGGACTGACTCCCCTGGGCTGACTGCTAACTGTGTCACCTTGGGCAGGCGAGCTAAGCTCCCTGTACCTTGGTTTCTCATCTGTCCCTACCTTGCGGGATGACAGGAGGCAAGGCAAGAAAAGAGCCCAGCAGGATCTCTGGCCACAGCGGGCGGCCAGTGAGAGCTTTTGTTCTTACTCCAAGTCGTCAAGATCCCGCCACTCCCGTCCCCTCTTACTGTCACTTACGCTCTCGGTGTGAGAGCGAAGAGAATTTCCTATGACATCTTCACAACCGTGGTGAGTTACACCATCACAGGTTCTGCTTTTAAACTTATTCTTGCAAAAACATCTTGACTCTCTGTAGGTTGACCTTTGAGGTTTTTTCCCTCTTCCTGTATTACTGACCCCAAGCCCCTGGGGGGACAGTGACATACAGCCACTTCCCCCTCCAGGCTGCACTTTCAGGAGGCAACTCAGAAAGGACGTGCACCTGGGCTCTGCCACTAACTTGCCCTGGGCTTTGGGCAAATTTCTTGTCCAGCCCTCCCCCCACCATGGCCTCCTGGGTCCCTTTTCACTTTCATTAGCATAGTGGGCTCTGCACCCCCCCCACCTCACAGGGACAGAGAACCTGTCCCAACTCACACGTCCCCATCCCTGTGCTCGCGGAACAAAGACACTCAGTCCCAAGTCCTCCGCGGGGAGGGAGGGGGTCTTAAGAGCGTTCCAGAAGCATCTGCGATGGTCAGGGAAGGCACTCGGGAACACCGTGGGGGAGCAGCAGCGGGATGGTGGGATCCTGTGCCCTCCCCACTCCTAACACTCTTGTGCTGCCATCTTAAAGCTGGGCGTGCTCTGGCGTTCCACTGGCGCCACGTGGAAACTGTGCATCTGGCCCAACGGGCTCTCTTTGCAGATGGGGAAACTGAGGCCTGAGCGGGTGGAGGATGCTGGGAGACCTGGGCCCTGGCATGGGAAAGGCAAGAGCAACAGCTCCGACAGAGAGACTAAGTCTGAGCGTGTGAAAGGGTCACGCTCCGTCCTGGCATGAGCGAAGGCGCTAGGGGCTGTGTGGTGACAGCCGGGAAGGCAAGTGGTGCCTGGAGCTCCCAGTCCCCTCGCCTCAGTCCAGGGACAAGAGCGGGTCTGAGGACCTCGGTGGGGGACAGCAGAGCTGGATCGCTGGCAAATGCCCCCTGAGAGGAAGCAGGAATCCTGCTGCCTGCAGGATGGCTAAGTCCAGGCCAGGTCCGCCTAACTGAGCAGCTCCAGGTGGGGAGCCCCCACCCCCGGGCTGTTCTGCATCTCAATCATGGGGAGCTGCGAGACGCAGGGGGCTGGATGGCTGTTGATTTTCACTTGTCCAGATGACCTGACAAGAGCAGCCCCTCAAGTGCCTGTCGGCCTCTGCCGCTAACACCTGGCCTGGCCACGTGCAAATAAGTGACACTAGCACCCGAGGTGATTCGTCAAGGTCCAGCCGGGCCCTGGCCCTGGCCACGGCTGATGGACTCCAGGCCATGCCAGAGGCCTGCTCTGCCACTGATGAGTGACATTTGAGGAGGCCTGGAGTCTGCTGTCACACTTGGGACCGGCAGGCCATGGCTGGGGGGCGGGAGGCTTTAGGGACCAGCCCAAGTCTCACTTCCATAGGCTCGGCAGTGACACCCTCATTTGATTCTGATTTGGGGGGGTAGGGTTGAGCATATGAGGCACACAGCTCTGGTCCTGTCTCTGTCACCGGCCAGTGTCCTGGGGCCAGCTGTGAGACAGCAACGACGTCATCTACAGGGGTCTAGAACCCGTGAAGGCCAGGGGTCAGCCCGAGTGTCCAGCCTGCTCCGCTGCTTCCTGGCGGTGGCCTGGCCCTGCACAGCCAGCCCTCCGTGCCTCCCTTTCCTCATCTGTGTGAAGTGGCGGAAAACAGTAGTGACCTCCTGGGTGGTCTGAGGACTGAAGGAGCTAACAGAGGAGCGCAGGGCCTCACACCCGCCACCCTCCCTCCACAGGCAGAGGCTGGAGGCTCTGAGAACGGGGTGATGAGCTCAGGGTCACACAGCGAGGCAGAACAACGTTAGGTGGGGTCACGGAGGGGCAAGCATGAAAGGTCAAGAGGGGACCATCCTGCCATCCTCCTGCTGGCGTCTGTCACTGGACAACGAGACACGGGGGCATTAGTGGAAAGGGTCAGCAACTTTATTTGCGGCCTTCTGCTGTTTCTGAGTACTTTTCCTGCTGTCCAGGGGTGACGGAGTGGTATCTTGCTGCCCGAAGTCTGGGCATGGATGCCTTGGGGGTCTGTCCCTGTCCCTCTCCCACCAGCGCAGCTGGGGAAGGAACCCACTGGGTGACCACAGCCCTCCACGGAGGGATAAGGCACTGTGTGTCTACACGAAGGCGCTCATGGCTGGCTGGCAGATGCCCAGCTGAGGCTGCTGAGGGTGGAGGTGAGCCTGGAGGCCAGCAAGGCAGCCTCAGGTTGGGGTCATGCCTTTGTTCCTCTTGCGGTCAGCCATGCTTCTCCGGTTGTGATTGGCTCTGGTTGCCTTGCTGGCCTCCTTCCTCCTGCGTTCCTGGGTTGTCTCCCGGCTCTGCCCATGGCCCCGGGGACCACCAGCCACTGCTGTTGAGCTGTCATGGCGGTACCTGAGGGAGTGACCCCCACCCAGAGAGAAGCTATCAGTTGGAAGAGGTTCTGATGGGAAGAACCTACAGTCCACCTTGGTGGTTACTGGGAGAGGACACACACTCTGCCCACGTCACCTACCACCGGCTTCAGATGGAGACAAAGCGGAGTTCCGAGCGGGCGGGCCCCAGCTCTGGCCTCCTGTTATTTCCTCTCCGTGCCCCATCTCCAGATGGGCTCATTGCTTAACTTGGGGAAGGCCAGCTAGTGTGCTGAATGCAGGAGGAGGGCCCGGGGTAGGTCCCCTCCCTTCTTCACCAGGACCACTTACTGCAGATGAGATAATATTCCTGTTCCACACTCTGGGCCTAGCCTGGTGGCCTCCAAATGCACTCAGAGACTTGACCTAAGACCTTTTTGCCCATCTCAACCACTAGGCCTTGCCCAGAGCTCCACGCTCAGGGGGCTGGGATAGATGAGAAGTCATAGTGGCTTTGCTCTCTGCCCAACAACCTTCTGTGGCTCCCGTTGCCTTACGAATGAGATCCAAATGGCTTCCCTTTTGGGGAGGCCTCCTGTACCCAGAGAGTAGTGCTGTATGAGCCACTCAGAACTAGGCTTTGACCCCTGGCTTGGCCTTACATGGAGGCAGATCCTTGGCCCCTCCAGACAGCTTCCTCATGGGGAGGTGGGAGCCTCAGGCTGCTATTGAAAGCCCTCACCCTGACCATGCTGTGCTTTCTTGGCTTTCTGCCGTCATGTCACATTCCCATGCACTCTTTCCATTTGCAGGGGCCTAGCTCCGTGCTCCCATGACCCTACCAGACCGTTGTCAGTCATAAAGGACGTGTCTGGCAGCCTGGCTTTCTCAGTTTATTCTTTGCCTGACACAAACTGGCCCTGGATGTGCTGGCTTCCCACACTGAGTGACAGAATCAGTGTCTGTCAAGTAATGGTTATGAGTGTAGAGCCCAAAGTCACGTCATCTGGACTCAACTTTTTTTTTTTTTTTTTTGGTGTTACTGGGGTTTGAACCTAGGACCTTGCATTTGCTAGGCAGGCACTCTACCACTAGAGCCACACCCCCAGCCCTTTTTGCTTCAGTTATTTTTCAGACAGGGCCTTGCTTTTGCTGGGGGCTAGCCTTGACCATGATCCTCCTACCTCCACCTCCCAAGGAGCCAGAATTATAGACGTGTGCCACCCTGCCCATACCCCACTATTTTTTTCTTTTGAGACAGGGTCTCACTATGTAGCCAAGACTAGACTGGAACTTGATATGTAGCCCATGCTGGACTGCATACAGTTCTTTGTTTGTTTGTTTGTTTTTTGTGGGACTGGGGTTTGAACTCAGGGCTCCACACTTGCAAAACAGACTATTTATGGCTGGAGTCACAACTCTAGTCCATTTTGCTCTGGTTATTTTGGAGATGGGGTCTCATGAACTGTTTTCCCAGGCTGGCTTCAAACCTAGATCCTTCCACTCTCAGCCTCCCACGCAGCTGGGATTACAGGTGTGAGACACCGGCGCCTGGTTGGCCTTGAATTCTTAATCCTCTTGTCTCAGCCTCCAGACTGTTGGTACTTTTTGAGCTCAACTTTTGATCTACCACTTACTAGCTGTATGACCTCTGATAGATTACTTCCTGTCTCTGGGCCTGAGTTTCCTCATCTGTAAAGCACAGACAATGATCATAGTAGCTACTTCCCACAGCTGTTGTGAAAGCAAAACAAATATCCAGAAAGCCCTTAAGTTTATGTGTGGGTTGTGGGTTTCCTGGGGGATCCGTGTGCCTTCCCCAGGTGAGTCCCCTCACCCAGAACCAGCTCCCTGAATGCTCACCCTTTCCTCGCGAGGAAGGCCATGCGCCTGGCTTCTGCCTTCTCCCTCAGCACTGCAGGATCCTGCACAAAGTGGTCAGGCTGTGAGGAAGAAGAGACAGAGTCTGGAATTGTGAGTGGCTCTGTCTTCCTGAGCTGTGGTGAGCCATGTGGGAAGGGTCTGGGCGGCTCTGTGCCTTGTATGGGGGAGCTGCAGCATGTGGGACAAAGGGGAGGCAGCTGAAGGAGGCTTCCTGGGCAGGCTGGTGGGGTGGAATGACCACAGCTGTAGCACGACAGTGACAAATGGAAATAGGGTGGTCAAGTTGAGCTGGCTTCTAAGAAAGGACCCACATGGCTGTGTAAGTTCAGCTCCTAGAAGTGGCTTGTCCTGGTGCCACAGAAACCATGTCTCTGAAGGTGCTGTGAACATGCCACCCTCAAGGACAGCTTTCTATGCTATGAATGTGAGGCAAACTTGCACAGGGGAAAACTGTGGACTAAGGACACAAGCTGGCTTTATGGCTAGTGGGTTTTAAAAAAACAAAACCCAAAGATGTAAAATTAGTAACGTGAAGACTGGTAGATTTCACATAAAAATCTGGACTGAGCCCTGAGCTGGCAAAAGGGGAAATCCAGGCACATTCCAGCCATGCAGTCTAGCCACAGAGGAGCCCCTTGGACAGGACGTGTGCTTCCCACCACTGGGGCAGTTCCTGCCAGGCCCTCCTACTCAGTTACCTTAGTGACCTGGTCCCAAATTACCCAATTTTGTTCCCTGGTGTGTATGTGTGCGTGGGGGGGAATTATGGACTCCCTATTCAACCTGAGCAACACGGCTGTCATCTGTTTTATTTGTTGTGCTTCCAGTTAAGGTCTCAGTTGAAGAAAAAGTTTGGATGCTGAAAAACAGAATCTTCAAACCCTCTGGCTCAGAGGACCTGCAGGCTGGGTGCTAGCTGCTCTCTGATCTTCAGAATTGCCAGCCTGGGCATAGCAGCTGACAACTGCCCCTTTGAGCCCACAGGCTCCTGGGCCTAATAAGCCAGGCAGCTCAAAGGCCCAGCCTCTTAATTTGTCCCCTGGGCCCTTACTAGGCAGCAGCGGTGAGTTCTAAGCCAACAGCCATCCAAGCAGACAGCCTGAGCTCAAAGAGACTGCCATCTCCCCCCATAGGGGTGGCAGATGAAGAGAAGGTGCAGTTCTGAAGGGTGAATCAGGAGCTCTGCCCCCTCTACCCTGCCACCTGCCAAAGAGTTACCTTAGGAGCCTCATCTTCAACCTCCTCCTCCTCTTCATCCTCCTCCTCTTCCTGCCCCTCTTCGGGCCCTTTAGTTCTCAGCACCTGAGGAATGGTGAAGGGTCTGCGTGGTGGAGACAAAGTGAGATCAAAGGCTAAGTTAAACCTGGAGATGAGCCTTATGGAGAGGGCATGTGGCTGGGGCGAGGGGCTGGGGGGTGGGTGGAGAGGAGCAGCTGGGAGGCTGGGAAACCTCAGGGACTTTGCAAGACAGCTTTGCAGCAGTCCTGGATCCTTTGCGGGCCCCAGGGTCCGATACAGGGGGAGGAGGGGGGAAACTGAGCTGGAGCCCTGAGGCTTTCTAGTCTTCCTTTTCATCAGGACAGCTCTGCTTTGATCTGTATTGGGGAACTGCCACAAGATTCTACAGGGAAAAGTGTTCTGCACTTAAGAAAAATTCAAAACAACTTTGAGAGACCGAATAAATGCTGCCTGATTCAGGGTGGGCTGGGATTAGGAGCAAGGAGGCCTGGGTGCAGGCCCTGGCTTCCTTTGTACACAAGGAGGCTGTGGAGCCCCCAGGCCTGAGCGCCCCCCCATGTCTTACCTGCGGCTGATAAGCTCATCGTCCGAGTCAGCATCGTTGGCACCAACCTGGTTGCCATCGTACGTGTCATCATACTCATCCTCATAGTCATCACCGTGGTAGTCACCTGGCTGCAGTGGAACCTGTGACAGGGGAAGTGTGGGTTGGAGAGGCTGGGGGCTGGCAGGTCTCCTGTGTCCGGCAGAGGCCCAGCCTGGGCAGCCTACCTCCTCCACTACCACGCTGTACCGCTCATAGCGCTGCTTCTGTGCCGTAACTGCCCGCTTGTCACTCACCAGGCTCCGCGTGTTCTCCTCCTTCCTGGGGATGACAGGGAGAGGGGGAGGAGACCATCATCAGGCTGGGAGGCCTTGGGTGTAGAGGGCCAGGGAGATGCTGACCTCACTTCTCTACCTCTTGGACCGGCCCTTGCTGAGACAGGTGACATCAAGCCCGAGTGAGGGAATAGGAGGTGGGGCTTTGCTGCAGCTGGCACCCACGTGATGAGGTCCTGCTCTTCTGCAGTGTGGGCACCCGAGGAGCAGCTGGTGAGTGACACATGCACATCTCTCAACATCGAAATTCCCTTTCAAAGCATCTACCCTAGAGAAACTCTGGCCATGCACACAGAGAGGTCTGGTCAGGACTTTTCAGTACTGTTGACAACACTGAAAACTGGAAGGTGACTAATGTCCATCACAAGTGAGATGGCCACACGAGCTGTGTCTCATTTGTGTAGCAGATTGCCGCACATCGTTCTCAAGAACCACGGTGACCTATTTATGCCGTGAGGAAAGAACTCTTAAGACTTCCTCAGGAAAAAAAGCAAGTTACAGAAAGCTGCATAAGAAAGGAACCCAAAAGGAAAGCCTTTTGAGTCTGTCTCTCTGGGCACCTAAGTAGAAATGAGGACAGGGTCAGCGAGCCCCACCTCAGATGACAGTGGTGACCCCAGGAGGCTTGGCTTGTGAAATCTTTCCTTCCTTCCTTCCTCCCCTTCCTCCCTCCCTCCCTCCTCCTTCCTTCCTTCCTTCCTTTCTTCCTTTTCCTCGCTCCTTTTTTTTCTTTCTTTTCTTTTTTCTCATGGTGCTAGGGTCTTGCATGGTCAGACCTTTTAACAAAAAAAAATGAAGAAGCAGCAAGGCCATGTGTGGCTTCCTGTCTAAGCCCAGGAGTGCCCTAGGGACATGGGAGAGTGGGGAAAGGAGGGACTCTGGCCTCTTACCCCTCCACGACAGCAGCCTCCATCTGTTCTACAGCTCCAGCTGCCCTGTAAGAATTCTCTAACAAAAGAACTGGAGACATGGCTCAAGCAGAAGAACGGCTGCCTGGCAAGCACTGAGTTCAAACCCCAGTGCTGCCAAAACAAACAAGCAAAAAAAAAAAAAGTTCAGAGAATTCACTGAGAGAAAAGTTTGGAAGTTCTGCTCCTGTTAGGTGATAGGTAAGGAAACCCAGGTGCAGAGGAAGGGGAAGGGAAATGCATGGGTCACACTGAACTGCAGAGCACAGAGTTGCTGGGGCCTCAGGTCTCTTGACTGTAGCTTTGTAAGCCTGTAGAGAAACTTGGCCTGTCAGCCTGTGGAATGTAATTTCTAGCCCTGCAGGGGAAAATCGATGAGATGCCAGGCAAGAGGATGCAGCTTAGCTGTGAAATTGGCTCTCTGGAATGTACTGGGGCGGGGGAGGGAGGGGAGAAGAGACACAAAGCTCTGTGCAGCTTCCATGAAAACCTCCAAAGTGGCAGGGAGGGCTGGGTGTTTGAGTCTGTCAGGCTGTCTGTCTGGAAGCCCGGCATGTCAGAACAGCATCCCCAGTGGCAGGCAAAGCAGTGTACTTTCTTAAGGACCTACTGGGTGCCAGGCAGGGTTCTGACGCTGAGTGGGGGAGATTCAGAAATGACTTACAGATGGTTGTCTTCATGAACTCACAGTGGAGTGGGGGTGACAGACAGGCAAATGACAACCAACATAAAGTGTGCAGAATGGAGGTGTACCTGTCCTGGACACAGCAGGAGAAATGGACTCTGGCTCGGGGGTCCAGCAGGGGGTCTGGAGGAAGGAGTAAGAAGGCTTCAGGGCAAGAGGGGTCTTTGATAGAACCAGGAGCCCCAGAACCAGGGGCAAAAAGGACTGTGCACTTGATTTGGAACAGGGTAAAATCCTGGTCCAAGGGACTCTCAGTTGCCAGGGAAGGGACTGTGACTATGACCTTAGCCCTGTACCTGGCTCTCTTCAGCAAGCTGGAAAAGAGGTGGAAAGGAAGTGAAAGGTATCCAAGCTCCTGCAGGCAGCTGGTGGCACTGAAGGCTACATTCATTCCCTCAGCCATGTTTCCTGGGGCTCTCCAGGTGCCAGGATCTGTGCTGGGCCAGGTACCAAGGACGAAGGTGAGCTGTCACCATCCCTCTGCTGCTCCCTGTGGCTCCTGGTCCAACCTGTCCCTAGTTTTGGATGGTGGGGCAGTTTTTGCATGCTGGGTGGTCTCTGTGTGGCCACCTGGCAGGGACAAATGGAGAAGCCTGATAACTTCTGCCCACCCCAGCTGGGCCCTGGGAAAGGACACAGGTAGGACAGTGGAGCCTGGGCTTGGGCAGCCTGTTCAGTGTGGTGCAGCTTCAGCCCCAAGACTTCTTTTGGTACCAGGAAAGAAAAGGAAAATTCCAGCACAGGCACTGGGAAAAGATCCGCTTAAGGGTGAGAACTTCATTCTAGTCTGACACACAGGCAGCAGTGGTTTGGGAGACCGACTTTGGAGCAAATTGCTTCCCTGACCTACATGGAGCAACCACACAGGGGACCTGTCTGAACCTGGTCACTTCCCTCCTCACCTCCTCCACCCTGTTCTTCAAGACTCTCCTCAAACTGGTCCTTAGGGACCTAAAGAGACAATAACCCTCCTTTTCCAGGAGAGGAGGCTGGATCCAGAGAGGTAGAGCAATCTCCCCAAGTCACACAGCTTTTAACAGGAGACCCAGGGCGAGACACAGTCTCCTGACTCAGGTCTGCCCTACCACTTGCTGATCCCTGATCCTTGATAAACGTCAGTTCCTTCTCCCAGTACCTGCTTCCAGGGTTGAAGTGAGGATGAAATAAGATCATGTGTAGAAGTGGACCTGGCACCTGCTGGACTCAGCAAAGCGAATCCTGCTGCTTTTACTGCAGGACATGTCAGAGCCTTTTTCTTTTTTTGGTACCAGGGTTTGAACTCAGAGCCTCATGCTTGCTAGGCAGGTACTCTACCACTTTAATGCTGTCAATCTTGGTCAGAGCCTTTAATGTGCTAACACGCTCTGTGACTTTCTATATGGCAGAGCATACAGATATTTCTCACCAAAAACCTTTGTCGAGGAGGGAACTTTTATTATGGAATAGGCCAAAGGAGTTAGGAACCCCACCCGTGCACATCATTCTTCACCGGCCATGACAGACCTGCAGCAGGGTGCTTGGTGTCCACCCCACAGCATCCTCCAACCCACGTCAGCCATCCTAACAGACTTTCATCCCTTTTTTTTTTTTTTTTTTTTTTTTTTTTTTTTTGGCACTGGGGTTTGAACTCAGGGCTTCATGCTTGCTAGGCACGCGCTCCACTGCTTGAGCCACGCCCCCCAGCCCTTTTTGCTCTGGTTATTTTGGAGACAGGTCTCACTTTTTGCCCAGGTCAGCCTGGTCTGTGATGCTCCTATTTTACACCTCCCTCTACAGCTAGGAAGACAGGCATGCCACCATGCCCAGCTTTTTTTCTGTTGACATGGGAGTCTTGGGAACTTTTTTTGTCTGGACTGGCCTCGAATTGCAGAGTTGCTAGGATTACAGGTTTGAGTCACCAGTACCTGGCTTTGCCCTTTTCTCCTTCCTTTCTTTTTCTCTTTCCTCCTCCTTTCCTTCCACTTTTCTGAGACAGAAAATCACTGTGTAGCCCAGACTGGTCTAGAACTCATGATCCTTCTGCCTCAGATTCCTAAGTGCTGGAATTATAAGTGTGAACCACTATGCTGGGCTCAACCTTCATCTTTCACCTCCATACTCCACATTAGAGGCCCAGGTACTGATCCTGTGACTCAGTTCTCCCAATGAGACACAAGGGGACTCTAGATAACTCCTACATGAGGTTAGCTACAAGAGAAACAGAACACCTGGTCCAGACTTCCTCTTGGCATTATGGTTTCTGGAAGCCACAGCCAAAAACAGCTGCAGCCCCCTTGCAGCCTCAAAGGACCACCTGACTGCCAAGCAAAGGCCCCAGGAGACAGAAAAGACACATCCAGGTCCATGTTGCCACACCACAGGTTCACACTCCCCACCCAGCCTGCAGCTCCTTGTCATGCAAGGGAACAGAAGCCACAAAGTGCATTCATCCAGATCCAATCACACACACACACACACACACACACCCCACCCCGGCAGCTTCCTGCTCTGCAGTGCTTGTGTAATGGTCTGTCTTTCCCACGGTCTCTGCCCTTTGAAGGCAAGGCCCAGGCACCCAGCTCACCTTGTTCCCTGGTGTCTAGCACAGTATCTGGTGCTCGTAAATCACTTAATAAATATTTGCCAAGTGAATAAATAAATAATGAACACATAAATGAAGGCTTTGCTTCTTTGCAATCCCTGCCCCTGGGCCACTGGGCGGTGGGTGGGTGGGGGGTTCAGTAAACAGTGGTGATCCAGTCCCAGCCTGACAACCTGAGCACCTCAGGACTGGGGCGCAGCCCTAAGACACCTGGCCATCTCAGCACCAGCCCTTCTAATGACTCTGACAGCTGGGATCAGCCCCTTGGCAAAGGCTCATGAATGACCTATGACCTGGGGGAGAGGTTAAGGCAGTCCTTGCAATGCCATGGGCCCTGGACAAACCCACAGATCAGATGCCTAAGCTCTGGAGAGGGGGACCTACCAATAAGGCTCCCCAGGTTGGAGAGAGGACGAGCCTCTGGCCAATCAGGGGACCCAGTCTGCCCCTCTCCCACAGCAGGGGCTGCAGAGAGTCATGCTGGTCTGGTACAGCTCTGCCAGGATCTGGTGATATCACAATGTGTGTGACATACAGTTTGCAAGTGTTTCCCGTCCAGAGGCAAGATGGCTTCAGGGCTGCCTGTGTCTGTTTTTCAAACCCGTGGCCAGCACGCTTCTAGCACTAGACAACCCCAGGAAGGGGGAGCAGCCTGGGGCCCTGACTGGGTATCTTACCAGACCAGGGCCATGAGAACTGGCCTTCTCTCTCTCTGGGCCTCCCACCCCATTCTGATGAGGGACAGGGCAGGCCACACTCGTCCAAAGGTTGTCCTACTGTGCCATTCTTTTTGGTGGCCGTACTTGGGGTTGGAACTCAGGGCTTCACACTTGCTACACAGGCATTCTACAGCTTGAACCACCCTTCCAGTCCACTGTTCTACGTGGACTGTCATACTCCCTCCTATAGGAGGGTGATCCTTTCAAAACAAGGGCTGTCAGCTTGTGGGACCTTCACTATGTTCACAATGGTCCTGGGCCACTGTCCCTGTTGCTCACTCTGCTTGGGAAGCTTCTCCTGCCCTGCTTTGCAGAACTGACTCTTCAGCCTCCTTCAGCTTCTGGACCCATGTTGTTTTCTCAGGAGCCTTCCTGCCTGCGTTGAAGCCCCACTAAAGGCACAGGAGTCTGAGCACCCCACCCTGGAGCACGCCTTACACCTGCAACACGACATTGATTGTTTGATGAGCTAATTAATGCAAACTTCAGCGGGCATGACCATGTCCGTTTCACTCCTCACTATAGCTCCAAAATCTAGTTAATCCAAGGTTAAGCACTAAGCAAATATTTGTTGAATGAATAAATACATCATGAATGGACTTTTCAATGCCAAAAAAGTAGAAAGGACAGAAACTAAAAATGAAGAGAATGGTCCAAACGCGGAATACATTTTTTTTTGTTTGTTTGTTTTTTCACAGCCTAGGGACAACTGGGTGAAAGAGTGACTTCTGGGAAGCACTGTCCAGGTGCACACCCATGGAGCTGATGGTCAACACATTAAACGACATAACAGACAGGGAAGCAGGGACAGAGTCGGCCCTCTGGCCTTTGCCCCCACCCACACAGTGGAGGAGCCTGGAGCGCAGTTATTAAAGTACCTGCTCTGTCTGCTGCAGTGCAGGCCCAGTCTTCAAAGGGAGCCCAAGCTGAAGCTTAGGGGGCCAGTTCTGGGAAGATGGGTCCTGGGTTTCTCTCACTTTCTCTCTGCAACTCTGGAGTCGGGGGTAGAGCCCCGGGTCACTCACCTCCTGCCTTTGTGCACCCGGCTCAGGTCCACAGAGTCCCTGCTGAACACGTCAAACTCGTCATTCTGGAAGACGTTGTGACGAGATGCCAGCAGAGGCGTGGGGTCTGGCTTCACCTGTCTGGGGGCACACACAGAAATGAATTTAAGGGTCCTGTCAGCTCATGTCTATCTGTGTGTTGTCATTCTCCCCACCCCCCACCACAACATACACCCACTCTACCTACAGATTCTTCACTCCCCTTCAAAGGCCAAACCCAGGGCATGACCTGAAGACCAATGATGGTGAAGACAAGGCCCTGCTCTAGCTGGCCCTGGCCTGAGGCAGTAGCCACACCTCGTATGAAGCTCCCCCTCACTCTGTGTGCCATGCATTCCAGTTATCTCTGTTTCTCAAAAGCTCCATCCCTCATTTCATGCTCACAAAGGCCTTATGACACAGGGAGTCAGGGGTCACTCAAACTTTTTGGTTTGTTTTTGGTGCTGGAGATGGAACCCAGGGCCTCTCAATGCTAAGCACATGCTCTGCCTCTGAGCTCCAACACCAGCCCCCACTCAACCTCCTTGTGCCTCAATGTCCTCATCTGTCAAACAGTACAAAGAGGCCGAGGAATGTGCCCAGAGGCACAGAAATAACTTCAGTCAGTCATTCAGCAAACACCACTCAGAAGAAACGCCCATTGGTGCCCTCGTTCCTGCTGTCCCATGAGCCTTTCAGGGCAGCAGTGGGTCAAACTCACTGGGTCAGTGCAAAGGGCACAAGCTTTGGTGGCCACCTTGCAGAATCTACTGGGAAGGGTGAGGACAGAGCTAGGAACTCTGAAGGGCTCAGTAATCCCTTGTCACACTTTCCCTCTGGGCCTTCCCACAAGGCACAGCAGGAATGCCCAGCTATGCACTGAGAACCTCCTGGGGCCCCAGGTCTTGCTTCCTGCAGGGGGGCACGAGTTTAAATGGCTGGAAACACTGCTGTGGTGAAGAGGGAGCAAGCTGAGTCCTGGGCCATGAGGGAAAAAGAGTGGGAGGCAGGGAAAGGGCCCTCTGTCCCAAGTCAGCCTGAGCCTGGTTCTGCCCTGCTGTCTCTCCCACCTGTCCAGGCTGCGGTCCAGCTGGCTGAGGGCAGGGGCCAGCCCCTCCTCCAGGATGTTGTTGATCACCTGCTCTGGGTCGTAGTGGTAGTGCTCCAGGCAGGCCAGGATGAAGCCCTCACCAAGGTCTGGCAGCAGGTCCTTCACTTGGGAGATGAGTGAGTCCAGCTCCACGCCGCACACGGCAGGGCCTAGGGCAGCGGCTGCGCCCGTGCACTGGAAGGAAGGCCAGAGCAACGCAGGGGAAGGCTAAGCTGGGCAGGTGAAGGGTAACAGGCATGAGGGGACCTGGTTTGAGTTCTGGACCTGTTCCTCCTAGCTGTGGGACCTCAGCCAAATGATTCAAGTCTCTCTTCACCTCTATCTCCAGTGTGAAGAAGGGGCTCTATGATTTCCTTGCTGAGTTACTTCTGGCTGTGACTTTGGGCAGGGTGCTTCCCCTCTCTGATCCTGTTTTTGCCTTGAAAAATGGGCTATGACCATTCAATTGTCTCACAGAGGTGACGCACATCAACCACTGAGCACAATATCTGGTACATGAGGCACCCCATAAACGGTCACACTCTGCTAGTCAGCAAGATGACTGGTGTTGGAGGGAAGCTGCAACCACCAGGCTGTTGCAGGTGCTCCTGTTAATTATATCCTTTTTAGTAAGGGGGATTCATTTCATACACGGCCCAACACGGCTTTTTAAGGAAATTGACAAATCAATAATACAGGGCTGGGGGGATGGCTTAGTAGCAGAGCATTTGCCTAACATATGCGAGGCCCTGGGTTTGATTCAATAATAATATTAATAATGATAATAAATAATCAAGCCTCCATGGCTCAGACAAGAAGCAAATGGGGAAGAAGGTGGGAAAGGTGGAGGCGATTGTCGTTTTCCCAGGTCCTGGGGTCTGACGGGAAGAAGAGCAGTGCTCATTAATGGAGCACCCAGGGTCAGCTGGTCTCGGGGTGCTGCACGATCTCATGGAAATGGGTGCCACACCTATTCCCAAGGCTCCATGGAAGGGACATGCCCAAGGCCACATAGCTGGCAAATAGCAGAACAAGGGAGTCTGTATGGTCACCATCCCTGCATCTCACCTCCTCTCAACACACAGGGAAGGGTCCTGGGCTCAGTATAGCCACAGATGTGGCCAGTTGGAAAAGCCTGGAGAGGAAGTACGAGATCTAAGGCTAACAGACTTATGCAGTGGAGCCCTGGAGCCCCAAGTGGAAGGACCAGGGCACTCCTAGCTGCAGCTGAAGGAACTCCACTGTTGCCTAGGCAAGAAGAGCTCGGGGAAGGGTTTCAGAGGGGCACTGAGGCTTCAATGACTTAAGCAGCCTGCTTTCCTCATCCCAGTTCTAGCCCCAACTCAGCTGGGGTTCCTCTAAAAGCAGCACAACCTGACCAGTTGCTCAGGGCTGTCAATCCCAAAAGAAACTTCCCTGAGAGCAGGAACAAGGAAGGAAGCTTTGCCACTGCCCACCTCTTGGACAAGGCCAGATTGCTGGAAAAGCAACCCCCCCCACGCCCCGCCCTGCCACACACATACCTCCTCCTCCTCTGAGTTTTCTGGATGCAGTGGTATTTGACCGACCTGCTCTGCTGTCACCAGAACCCTGTTAGAATCTCCATTAGGCTCCATGGCCATGGGTGGGGTTTTAGCATCCATGCCTTTCCGTCTGTCCACCCCTTCCCACGCGCTCTCCACGGCCTGGAGGATGTAGGTAGTCCGTGTCTCGTCCCTGTGAGGCTGTGTTAAGGGCTCTTCATCTCAGGGCCCAGAGCCCTCCTTGCCTCCCCAGCTCTGGAACAGCATGATTTCTCACTCCGCGCATCTGACCATCTTTCTCATGCTGAGGTTTCCGGGGTGATCCAGTGGGTGCCATGGACCGCTGGGCTGTGAGGAGCAGCAAGCCAGCTCACTACTACACAGGCCTTGCAGCTCAGTACCTGCTACTCAGCAGAAAGCAATTCTGGGCAAAGGCAGGGCCAGGGGCTACCACCACTGTCCCGGGATGCGGTGCTTGGAAGAGCCAGCAGCGCCTTGTTTGCACTGTCAGGAGGAGGGGCTCCTGGCCGGGCTCACAGGACTTCCTGTCCAACCAGCTGAAGGCACTATGAAAGGCTGAGAGCCCTAGGCTGTCCGTGAGGCAGGACTGAACAACCTGTCTCAGCAGCCAAAATGGCCCACAGGCCTTCTCCTTTTTTTCCCTCCTTCCTCTCGACCACCCTGGGCACTGCCAAGCCAGAAATCTGAGCATCACCTCCTATGCCCTTACTCCACCTCTAGTGCAAAGCTGCATGATCCAAGCCTGGGGGGCCGACAGAGCCTTCACTGCAGCCCCTGGACCTCCTGGTAGTCCCAGACTGTGCAATCTCTCTTAGTGCCTTTCACTAAGGGACGTGTCCATATCACCTCCTGGCTCACAGCCTTCCATGCTTCCCAGCGCTCAGACAGAGCCAAAACTCAGTGAAGGTCACACAGGACTGTGCATGTCTGCCAGCCCCCAGCTCACCTGCTACACCTCCAACCCACCTCCCACGAGGCTCCTGCCTCACAGAACTGCACTCTGCACACAACATAAGAGAGTGCCTCAAAAGGGCCAGCTCCCTCCATCCTCCAATCCCTGGGGGTACTCTTGTCCTCACTTCTAGTTCTCAGCTGGGACAGCTATTCCTTCTGTTCTTGGCTTGGACATCACTTCTGTCTGACACTCCTGCCCCGAGCTCTACTAGGTGAGGAGCTATCTGAATTCCTCTCCTGTGACACTCTAACTGCCTGTTTTCTTCTCTGTCTTCCTTCCTACAAGGTCCATGAGGGCAAGGCTGAAGTCCAACCTGGTCACATAGGCCCAGACTGAGAGAAAGCAGGACTGTCCCTTCTGTCCTCAAGTGTTACAGCATTCTCTAGAAAGGCAGGTGAGGCCTTGGTGGGCTTCTGGCCACAGCTGGTTGGCCCGTGACGAGCCCTTTCTCTGCCCCTCTGGGTTCCAGCAGACCATGTTTGACCTGGTCAGGCCATGTAACATTGGGCTATGGTAAAAGGATACAAGACTGATGAGGCCTGTTGCAGCAAACTGATGTCTTCTGCCACAGGGAAGAGTGCATCATAGTCCCGGAGGAACCTGCAGGGCAAGAGCAGACAGAAGGGACAGGGCTGGGGCCATACAGACACTGTTCTACTTCAGGCTACTCCCCATGTCTGCCACCCAACCATGAATGCTAGAACCTTTGAGCTGTGGCGTGCCTATGTCAGGCTCCATTACATTAGGCCTGATGGAGACTAAAGGAAAAGTCATGGGCCTGTCCCATGGCTGCTCCCAGCTCAGCTACACTCACCTCTTCTCCTGTAGCAAGGAGCTGAAGATCTGAAGGAACTCTTCAATGAAGCCCTGAATGTTGTCACAGCTGGAACGGGACACCAGGGAAGATGCGTCCACTCAATGCGAGACAAACTGCAGGCCCCTTCCATGCCCACCCCGCCCCTCTGCAAGGCTCTGAGCAGTTAGAGCAAAGAGGCATTTTTCTGGGTTTGCCATCTCTGCTCAGCAAATCCAGAGCAGGGGAGGAGGCAGGGAACAGTGGTGGGAGCGTTCCTGCTGGGCTTGGAGACTGCATCCAGGACTTACCTGCTTTCTAGGATGGGACGGAGGCAGATCTGGTTCAGGATAATGTGAAATACCTCCATTAGCTTCTTCTTGGAGTGGGAGAGCCTCTGCCACAGGTCACCCAGCAGCCTTTGGTGGCCGGAGAGAGGAGAAATGGATTCAGGAGACAAAAAAAGCACTGAGGGAGCCTTTCCCCAGCAGCCACAGGCACCCCCAACAGCTGAGAGGGCCTCACAGGTCACTGCTGGGAGTAGGTGGCCAAAGGTTACAGATGTCAGGGCCACTTCTCAGTTCAACAGTGGGTCAGGAGCAGTGGGGCCAGTAACCAACAGCTTGAAGCCAACAGCCAAGAGGAGGGCTTAAATGCCAGGGCCAGCTGTCCTGTTATGCCAGGATTTGGGGGGACACTGGGTTAAGGACTTAACTGCCAAGCAGGACTTGGGGACCAATCTACTTTGTATACTTCACACACACACACACACACACACACACACACACACACACACGTTCCAGGAAGCTGCCAGGTAGAACACAGAAGCCTGAAGCTACAGTCTGTGGTCCTACCCCCTTACCCCCTGGTATTAGGGAGGGGGTGCAGCAGGGGAAGGGCCTGTGCTCAGGCCCTTCCCCACACAACTTTCTCAGTTCTGTCCCTGCCTCACTTGCTGTCTTCAAGTCTCCTCTTCTTAATTGCAGACTCCATTTCGGGAATTGCCACTTCATAAAAGGAAGCTAGTCTGTGGAAGCATACATGGATAAATGTGGATTAGTGCATATCATAAACACCCCGTTTTGTTAGAAAACAAAAGCCAACCCAAGGGAGCAGGAAGGCCTAGCTCTGGACCTACCCCTCATGGGAAGTAACAGTAGCTGTGTCCATTCTAACAGCAACCAGAGGGCCACACAGCACTCTCTGAGGTTTGTGAGACAGACAGACTATTCTTTCTCTTGCTCAAAAACTGCCAGCATCATGTGTGCTGAAATGCTCATTTGTAAATAACCTTTCTGACTTTGGTCATGAAATATAAAGAACAAGCTTTGGTTGTGGCGTGATTTGGAATCTTTAAAAATTGTTTACACATGAAAATGTCAACACAATATTTACCCTTGTTCAAAACAAGCTAACTATGCACAGGATTTAAATGTAGCATATTTTCTTTTCTTTTTGCGGTGCTGGGGCTTGACTTCAGGGCCTACACTGTGAGCCACTCTGCCAGCCCTTTTTTGTGAAGGTTTTTTTTGACAGGGTCTCACGAACTATTTGCTGGGGCTGGCCTCAAACCACGATCCTCCTGATCTCTGCCTCCTGAGTAGCTGGGATTACAGGCGTGAGTCACGGTACCTGGCTTTTCATTCTTTTTATTTGTCAGTACCGGGGATTGAATTTAGGGCCTTGTGCTTGCTACTATGTATGCAAACATTCTACCCTGCATAAGTCACATCAGCCCTAAATGTAGCATATTTTCTACATTGGTTTTATGAGTTAAGCCAGTTAGCAAACTTTCTATAATCCTTATAAAGTGTGGGGGGAGAAGAGGAGGGGAGGTGGCTTAAGTAGTAGAGTACCTGCCTAGCACATGCAAGACCCTGAATTCAAACCCCAGCACCACCAAAAATATATACATATGATTTTCAAATGAATATTGTTAGTAATAATAAAAAAAAAAAAAAAGAAAGAAAATTACCCGCAGCTTCCTCCATCCTATGATAGCAAACCATAATCCTTCTCTTGGTACCTGGCACAGTATACTCAACCTTGCATTTTACCTTGGCTGCCTCGCACCCCACCCCTTCTTCCCAACTCAAATTCAAACTCTCCATCCCAACAACAGAGGCCCTCACTGTCCACCTAGAGATCAGAGCTCCCAGGACCTCTGACTTTCCCACAGGTTCTCCTTTTCCTCCTCTTCCTCCTGCCTGTCTTGCCCCTCCCCGCTGCAGCATTCCAGGCCTCTCTCCGACCTGTCCACTTCCTGGCCGTGCCCACCACAGGTTTCTTCCTTCTGGGACTAAATGTGTTGCACATGGAACATGCTGTCCTGACAAATGACAATGTAGCTGCCTCTCTTCTGTGGTGTAATTCTTCGTCCAAACATCCTAGGCTTCTCAAAGTCAGAAATGCACCAGAAGTGCCTAGGATAGTGCAGAATCTGTAGCAGGTGCCCTGCCATCGCTTTGTCTGTCCTTTGGCTGACTGTTGGCAACGTCTATCTTACTGTAGCACCACACATGGCAGAAGGTAAATAGGCCAAAAAAGGCAGGCGCTGCTAGGCATGGCACTGGCAGAGGCCAGAGAGGGCAGTTTGGCCCAAGCAGGTTCAGCTGTTGCCAGGATACATGGCTGGTGGGAGGGTAAACTGGAACTATGGAGGGCAATTTGGCAAAATCTATGGGAATTAAAGATGCACGTACCATCTGTCCCTGTAATTCTACTTCTAGGAATTAACCCGCAAATATACTTGCGAAGGTGCTAAATGATTTATGTGCAAAGTTACTGGTGTATAGCATTTTTTTTTTTTTTGTAATAGCAAACAAGTGAAAAAAAAAACCCTTATGGACCATCTATGGGTACTCCCTGTGTACGATGGAATTCTACCAGCCATACCAAAGACAGAAGGTGCTTTACACGCTCCATGGCACCGCCAGAAAGTAAATGAGTGAAATGCAAACAGTCTGCATAGCACTCAGTCTTTAAAGAGAGGGGGGTAAAGACTAGAGGTGGTACAGCATTTTCCTAGAATTTGCAAGACCCTAGGTTTCCTCCCAGCACTACAAAGGAGAGTGGGGAGACATATATGTGTATTTGCTTACACTTGCATGCGTGCCTGCCTAGCTCTAGGAAATTTCACAGCAAAACTGACAGTGGTTGTGTGAGGAACGGAGCTGGGGAAGGGGGAGACTTCACTGTCTATTTTATACTTTTTGAGTTTTGAACCATGTGAATGACATCCATTTATAACTATGAAGGGCAGAAAGAGCATGCTCAGCATCTGAGCAGATGCGGGAAGAAGGTTCTTAGGGGAGAGGTGAGTGAAAGAGCTGTCTAGGTAACTGTGACCCTTTCCAAAGGGGTTACTGTGGCTGCCAGGTTGCCAGAGGGCCTTCCTGGCCTATGGGTAGAGACTGGGCCAGTCTCAGCTGTGCGTGGTTCAAAGGAACAGCCACTTCCGAGAGGTTTCCCTTTCTTCCCTACCCCTGAGATGGCTGTGGCTCCTTTCAGTTTGCTGCCCGCTCTATCTTCAAAGATCCTCAAAAGCCATCTGTGGCCCATCTGAGGACCAAATGGGACTGTGCTTATGATAAGTGAAAATACTGAGCATAAAACCTAAGAGTAGTGCAATCCCTCATGGTGATTTCAGTATCCTACTTGTCTGTCTTCCAAATTTCCTACCACATGCACCCCACCCCTCTTATCATGTGAAAGGTATCTTTTTTTTTTCCCAAAGTGGACAGCTACAGCCCCATCCCTAGTCTACGATCTCTGGAAGACTGATCAATCCTAATGTCTGATTTTCTCAAGCCAAGGAGACAAGGAGGAGTTAGAGTGCCAGCTGCCATCTCTGCGCATGTCAGTGCTAGATGAATGTTCTGTGGAATGGTGAGTAAATGACAGAATGGATGGATAGATGAATAGACAAAGTCGGGCAGCTCCCAGAAGCTGTGGCGGATGGTGGAGAGAGATGCCTGGCAAGAGTGACAACTAAAGGACATTGACAACAGACCAGTGCTCATTGTTGCCAGGCAACAAGCAGGCTGCCAACCCCTTTGCACTGGCCCGGAATGCCCTGCCCATGTCCCCCCTTCTCACTGCACAAGGCAAATGCTCATGGTGCTAGGTGGGCAGACTGGTCTCCCTCCCTGTCCCATCTGCTTCCTCGGCTGCCTTCGTCCCCGCAGGAACTTTCTACCGCTCCTTTGGACAAAAGCCTCCAGTGACTCCCAGTGCCTATAGAACAAAGGCCCCACTCCTGCCAGCACTTCACAGCTCCTCACAATCTGACTTCTACAGACTGGTTTCCTCTCTGTTATTGGCTCCTTTTCCTGCTGTCCTGGTGTCCCCAGCCTGTCTCAGCTAACTCTCCCCACCCTGGCCCTCCCCAGAGCACACTTTGGACCTTTTATACTTTAACTTCGCTGGCTTCGATAGCCTTCAAGACTACTTTTAAGGATCAGCCTCTGCCCTTCCCTTATGGGGGGTTGCACCTCAGTTGTCTCCTTGTACGTTCTCCCACTGGGCTAGACTCAGAAGTCTTTAGATCACATCTTATTGACTGTTACTCCCTATGCCTGCCCCAAGAGGGGTTCTGAAACCAACAGAGTCCTCCTCTTGCTGTGTTTTTTTTTTTTCCTCCCCTGGCCTGCTCTCAGCCAACATTGGGAGTGCTTCTAAAATGCAGGGTGCTTTCAGCAGGAACCTTATCTGTCTTCCTCCCAGGCTGGGAGAGGCACTGGCACATTCAAAGGACTGAGTAAATATGTGTTGAATGAGTGTGTGGACCAGAGCCTCTACTTCAACAGCCAAAATTCAGCTGTACCTGGAACAGAAGTCGTGTTTCTGGAAGGTCTGGCAAGCCAAAGGGAAAATATCCAAAAAGGCCCAGAGTGTAGTGCAGGTATCACACAGGTAGAGAACAACGTCCTTTAATTCCTGCGGCCAAAAGAAAACACTGCATTATTCTCCTTGCTCCACAGACAGCTCTGCAGAGGGGCTGAGACATCACTGACAAAGTCAGGATCCCCATCAGGGAAAGAGAACAATGGTGGCCACAGGCCTAGACTGGCTGGTCCATTTCTAGGAGCTGACCTGGATAAGCCACCTAACTGCCGTAAGCCTCAGGGTTTTGGAAATGCAGCTCCAGGGGCCTCCTGCACAGTGACAGCTAAGGTCACTTCTAATTTTACAATAATGCAGTCTCTCTTCTATGCTGAAGGAAACTCAACCCCTGAATCTGAACACAGCATCTCTGGTCCCCTAGAGAGAAGGCATATCCTCTCGAGGACAGGCCTATCAAGCAACACTTTCCTTTCATTATGAAGGTACACAGGACATAGGCCACTTGCTCATCTGCCTTGCTGATTCTCACGCAAGCTGGGCAGCTATTAGGATCTCCACTTTACAGATAAGGAAACTGAGGCTCAGAGGGGTGAGATGACCTGGCCACAGCCCCAGGCCTGTACTCTTTTGATATACTCGTTTAATGGCTGTTTTCCTACCAGATGGCAAGTGCCAGGAGGGTGGCTCTCAGCTGCCTCATCACTGCTGTCTCCAGGGCTTAGCACAGGGCCTGACACATCCAGGCCCCTTAATTGCCTGTCTTCTGTCTGTCATCCTCATTAGACTGTAAGTCCCAAGATAGGCGCCATGTCTGCTTTTGTGTACGACGTACCACCAAGGCCTGGACATGCTGGGGCTCCTCGATATAAATTCACTGAATCAATGACTGATCAAGGAACGACACCTGAGTGAACTTGCTGAGCAGAACTGAGTGATGACTACACCCCTGTCCTCTGAATTCTAATGCCCTGTTCTTTCTAGTACTCCATAAACGAAGCTTCCAGAAAGAAATGCAAGTCTGTCAAAAATGCCCTCAACCTATGGGACTGGGAGAAACTGCTGCTCACTAAATCAGAGAAAGGGGCTGTGAGAAGGTAAAGGAGCCCCTGGGTCCCGTATCATGGCAATCTCTCCAGGCCTGGGGCAGCCAGGCTCTGGAAGTGGGGACCGAGCCAGAGAGGCTGGGCTGGAGGGTGACCTTACCAGGAGGGGCATATCGCTGGGGGTCAGCCGGACCCTCTCCTCGAGCTTCTGGGGCGTGATGCCAGCCCCATCCCCTTGTAAACCACAGTGCTGGAGGATATTGGTGAAGACCTGTGAAAGCAACAGGGGACTCTCCCACATCTTGCTGCAACAGTGGCTATGATCCCACCCCCAGTCAGGGACAGGTGATTCGGAAACTGCCTTGGAACCTTCGGAACAGATCATGCTCCACAGATCCCAGCAGAAACAACGGCCTTCTCAGAAGGCCGGGCCAGAGTAGAAAACAGAAGACGATGGAAGCATCCGTATGGGATTGTAGAGAGGACTCAAAACACAGCATGTGGGTTTGGGCGTGTGGTTCAGTATAGAGTGCTTGCCCAGCAGGCACAAGGCCCTGGGTTCGATACCCAGCACCTCAAAAAAACCAAAAACTCAACATATATGTAAAGCCCCAAGGATCTTGCAGATATGAAACACCTTCAGCAATATATAACAATTTTCACATTCCCTGTACATGGCTACTGATGGGAACTACATTGAAGCCAAATCAACAATGAGGTTTCAGAACAGAGCTCATAATAAAATAGGTCATGGAAGACTGAGCTGACAGCACTGTCTTTAGGGACACTAGCATCTAATTATTCCACAAGTTACTGAGAATAGTGAGCATCTCTTGGTGGTAGGATTTGAGGGAGAAGGGAAGTGATATTCTTCTGTTTTTTAATATTTCCTACATTTTTTCCAATGAATACTATTCTTTCATGAAATGATTTTGTAAAGCTTCAAAGCTCATTTGAGAAACACACGTCTCTTACAGGGATATCCTTTCAGGCACATGGCTGTTGTCAAACACCACAAACTGCATGACAAACTTTTTTTGTGTGAGTTCCAGGCCACCCTTGTTCTCAGACCTGTTCCTGAATTTGAAGAGGTATGGCCACGGGTAGGGTAAAGAGATTGTCTGGGGAGATGAGCTAGAGAGGGGCTGGGGGATAAACATTTCTCTGGGATCTTCCAGAAAAGTCAAGGAACTCCATCAAGTGGGGGAGGGTCTGTCTCCTCAGCTCACCCTCCCCTGCGCAGGGCCAACAGCTGGTACCTGAAGGATGGTGGGCATGGTTTCATCCAGGTCATTATAGTAACTTGGCTGCTGGGTAAAGATATTTCCTAGAAAGAAAGGAGAAAGATAGGACGTGAGGAAAGGTGAGGAGGGATGGAAAAGGGCATATTACAAATGGTTGCCAGCATGTTCTATGACCTTTCTCCCTTTTTCTAAGCCTATCTATGGCTAGGACCTAACAGAGCCCTCAGGCCCTATAGGCATTGAGCTTTGGCCCAGGCTAGAAACTTCCCCAGGGCTGGGGAGGGACCTTGCTCAGTACAATTTACCTTTTTAAGCACCTCTGCCTAGCACATTATATAAGACCTACCCTGGTCAAACCGGCTTGCCCTGACATCCCAAGGGAGTGACCGTACTTGGGCACCGTGCCTGGTATGACAGCATTTGGCTTTGGAAGTGGGAGTTAGTCATCCAGGAAAATCAGGAAATGTGATCTTTTTGCTCAATAAACCTGGATACAACAATCCAGAGTTCTTGCCAGGCCACGCCTCCAAAAATGTGAAGAAACTCCAGGGAGAAATGTCTCTGGAAATTCTCTCACCCTTTGCTTTTGAACATGCTACCACCCTAGTCCATCCTACTCCAAGTGAGAGGTCCGAGAGGGGCCTGAAGATGGATGTAGCACACATTTGCAGTCGTTCTGATAAGATGGAGCCTGTCTCCAAGTGTTTACTACCCTTCAACTGCTGCTGAGGAGCGTGGGGTAGAGCATATGGGAGCTGGAACAGAAACCAATGTTCTGCTGTCCAAATAGCGAGGGAGGGAGGAAGGGAGGAAAATCATAGCTAGCTGGGGACATGACGATGAGAAATGCCAGTGCCCTGAAGAGGCCAGGCATTAACATATAACTCTTGCATCTAAGGCTGGTGGTCAGACGTTCTGAATTCTAGGTACCCTCCATCTCTAGGCCTATCTGTCCATGGTTTTCTTATTGATAATCCTGCAGCCCTGACCCAATCCTGGAGAAGCTAAAATGAAGGAGACCAAAGGCCTGCTGGGGCTAGATGAGTAAGAAGTCACTAGGTAGCTGGACTTCCTTCCACACTTCCCTGGATACCACTTCATTCCCTGATTCCAGGAAACTGAGTTTTTCCAGACCAGGTTTGTTCAGTGCCTCCTTCCTCCAGATAGGTGCTCATCGTCCAACCTGAGAAGGTGTTGCAAGGACTATCTCTACCCCTGCCTCCTCCAGACAGGTAAGGAAGACCTGAGCTAGGCCCCCACCAACTTCTACGCTTCCTTGTAAAATCCTCTTATCCTGAGCCTCAAGGTCAAGTCTGAACTCCTGATCACAGCACAAAAGGCCCTGTGAGATCTGGTTCCTGCCAGCATCCCAGGCCACCCTCCCCATTCCCTGAATTGCAGTTTTCCTTCAAACCATCAGAAAATAAGCTCTGTCCCCTTCCTCTGCCTGAAATGACCTCCCAGGGTTCATCCCATCATAAAACGGGTGTCACCTTCTCCAGGCAGTGCTTCTTGACACAGGCAACAGGAAAGGTGTCTTCCCAAAACCCCCAGGGCCACACAGTATTCCCCAAGGCATCCTGACCACCTGACATAGGGGAAGTACTCTCTCATACACCTGCCAGTGCTGGAGCCTGAGTGACAGCAACATTTTAAAGTATCAAGACAGCTCAAAGTTCACAGCCTGTCCTTGGGGTCCTCTGAGTCCTTTTCCTCTCCTTTATCTGATTCCTATGACAGTGAAAATCGTCCTAGCTCTTGATCTCTTAAAGAAACCATACAAAGGTAGAGGACAGCAATGGCATCCTTTGAGCCTCCCCTTCTTCATCAAAAGCAGTTCAGAAGCCCAGGGTGAATGGGAGATGCTGCCTAACAGAGCCATGAACGGGCCATGACCCAATTTCCTCCTGCTCTGCAAAGCAGCTCCAAGAGAGACAGACTGAAAGGCCCTGCTTTCAAAGGTATAGTTTGATTCACAATACCAGCCTTGAAGGTTTGAAAAAAGGGCAGGGTAAGGAGTGGGCTTGCGCCCACAGGGCAATCAGTCAGTCCCTCTTCTCTCACCTCTCCTTTGTCAGACCTCTCACGAGGGATTGCCAAGGATTTCTGTGGTACCGAATGTGGAGGCTGCTCTTATACCTTCTGCTTAAGGGTTGAAAAAAGAGCTGCCTTTTCATTGGGAGGGAGTGAGAGAAAGAGAGAGAGGGCAACTGTAGACCCTTCTCTACATCTGCCACTGCAAAAACAAATACAGAAACACACACACAATGCCTGGCCCTGACCTCTTTTGAGTTAACTACCCTCCAGGAGGCAAAAGTGCGCTCTTTAATAATCCAGCTTAATAATCAACCTGTGAATCTGAGAACACTTTAAAAACACCTTGAACCAGTGGTGTTGCACATCTGTAATCCCAGCTTAGGGAGGCTGAGGCAGGTGGATGACAAGTTAAAGGCTAGTCTGAGCTGTATAGCAAGTTGAGACTGGGCTACATAGCAATGGTTAAAAACAAAACAAAAAAAACCAAGCCAACAACTTGAAACCTCTCTTTCTTCAGATTCTCAAAGAGCCAGTGACCCAAAAGATTAGGCCCTGAGGCAGCAGGCAGTTTTCTCACTCCACCTTTGAAACACCATCTCCCTCTGGAACCTCATACATCCAACACATCCTGATGGTGGCCTTTTTTCTGCAATCAACACCAGTCTTCTCCAGAACTGTTAAGACTTCTCTTTCCAGCTGACCTCACCAAGGCCTGCTTTAATCTGCCTCCCAGATATCCCTTTCCACTCCAATAGCCAACCAGGCTCTCAACTTCACACCCGCGTGGATGTGCCTACCTCCTGTGTGGCCTTCTGTCTCCACCCTCCCCGCCTGCACACTGCCAGGTTAACCTTGTCACCAGATGGCTCCTCGTCCTACTCCTCTTCACAACAGGATCTTAGACTTGCCAAGTGCTGTGTCCTGCTGGGTACTGTGCTGAGCATGTTATCCACGCTACCTCTTCTTTAATCCCACAGCTGCCCTACGAGGAAGACACACTGCCATCCTCCCTCTCTCCAGATGAGAACACTGAGGCTAAGAGAGGCCTATTGACTCGGTGAAGCTGACATAGCCAAGAACAGAGCTGGGATGTGACTGGACAGTCCAACTGAGGAACTGTCGTCTTAGCTGTTGACAGCACTGCTGCACAAGGACCGAAGCCTGAATGTAGAACTTCCCAAAATAACTCCAGCTGCCCCCTCCCCATCTTCTGCTGCTCCCTCCTGAAACAGTCCATTCTAACCAACCCTGGCCTAGTAATTATTTCCCTAACTAATCAGGCCTTCTGCTAGTCACTCACTCCATCCTTTTAGTCTACAGTAAAATCATGAAGAGTCTTCCCCTGGGAAAATAAAAAAAGATTAGCTGATGACCAGGTAAGAATTAGACTTGAGCAAGAAACCAGAGGTTGTTCCAATGAAAAGGCCATATGTAAAATTTCATATATATTATCAAATATGTTTTTAAAAAATAAACAGAGAAATGACTGGAAGAAAATAATAACCAAATAGTCTTTCTCATAGGAAACTGGCAACTATTTTCCTGCTTCTTTACACCTTATCTCCTTCCAAGATTTTCTTTCTTTTTTTGGTGGTACTGTGGTTTGAACTCAGGGTTTCGAATTTATTAGGAAAGTGCTCTACCACTTAAGCCATGCCCCCAGCCCTTTTGTGCTTTAGTTATTCATCAGATAAGGTCTCTCCCATTCTTCTGAGGGCCAGCCTTGGACTTCAATCCTGCTACCTACACCTCTCACATAGTTAGATGTGCGTCACCTGATGCAGCCCAGAATTTTCTAAATTAATATATATTACATTTATTACAGGGTGGGGGGGGTAGAAGGAAGGAAAGAAGGGAGGGAAGGAACAAAGATGGGGGAAAAGGAAGGAGGGAGGGCTAGAAGGAGACACAGGAGGCAGGGAAGGAAAGGAAGAAGAGACATACAAGGGTTAACTCAGTTTTGTAACTAGCTATTTAGAAGACTGCATCCTACAATCTCAGGACAAGGAGGGCTGGCACCTCCCTGTGCCAGGCCCAACACCTGCTGCTGAAATTCAAAGAGGAATATGTCGGGGCATTTCCCTCCAGGGCATCCCACCACTGCTGTTTCTGATTGAACCTTCCAGCCCACCACCACCTGATGGGATCCAACTTCTACATCCATTCCTTTCCCAACCCCAGAGATTTTTCTCTGATCTCTGTCCCCATCTGCTCTGTGGAGTGTTGCAAACCATGCCATTTTTGAGGCAGCCCCATTGTCTTGGAAGCAGGGAGCAGAAAGAGCAAGAGCTCCAGGGTCAGGTCTCCATGGCCATACATCCTAGCTTGGCTACTTATTAGTCACGTGTTCTCAGGCAAGTCCCTTACAGTGCAACCTCGGTCTCCTCATCTGTTAAGTGGGGAGTATAATGGCACTCATCCCAGAGGGCTGCTGTGAAGAGCCAGTGGAGACAATAAACATGACACACATGGCAAGCAGGGGCCCAAGGCCACATTCCAATGAAGGCTAGCTGTCGCTGCCATTCTGACTGTCATTACCAAGGCAAACCGCCTATTCCTGCCATCGATTGACACCTGGCCTAACAATAAGGCTCCCAGATCCCTGAATAATGTCTGTCACACATTTTTTTTTGGTCTCTTCACTGGTTGCCACTTAGTCGCTTCTCTCAGAGCTGACACTCCTGCATGTGTGAAGTAATTCCCAGCACCGCCTGCTCTGCCGCTCGAATCCCCACCCCATTCCTAAGCGCTGCCTTTGTGGCCTCTGGTTTAGTGCATGGGGCTGTCTGTGCATCTTCCAGACCCCGTGTCCCACGTACCTATCATCTTCTGGAGCAGCAGCGAGTTGCCTTTTCCAAAAAGCACACAGAGGTCCAGGATTTTTGGGATGTCAAAGAGGAAGTTATTGTAGAGGATCTCTCCAAATGCAGAGGGGGAGATGAAGTGATCCTAAGGAAAGTGCAGAGAGAAAGGATGGAGACTCTGAATGCTCATAAACTCTAGAGTCACAGCAAACTCAGAGAAACAACCTTCAGGCCTGTCAGCTGGTCAATGAAGTTCTGCTTACACTATGGATACTTCTGAGCGTCACGTACAGAGCCAAGGCAACAGGGTCACAACCCCACAGATTTCTCTGAGCTCCATCTTAACATCAATAGAAGCAAAAATGCCATCAAGCAGTCAGGGTTCACTCTGAACTATGGATGGGTAGATCAGTATGAGCCTGAGACTGCATGAAAATACCCCAAGAAAACAAGAAAACTCAAAAAAGAAAGAAAATGAAAACACTCAGAGGAGAAAGAAAACAAGATTGGCAAAATGCTGGTAAGCGTTGAAGCTGGGTGATAGGTACATGGGGTTTACTATTCTTTGCATGTAAAAATTTTACAGAAGCATATGTACATTATTTGAAAATTTGCATACCAAAAAGTTATTTTTTTTTTAAAGACACTTTTTCTTTTTTTGTGTCAGGGATCAAATCTAGGGCCATGCCCAAGGTAGGCAGGCACTCTATCACCAAACTATATTCCCAGCTCTGAGAGCCTATCTTTGAAACACACACATACACACAAATGTTCTTTCTTTCTCTAAGGAAAAAAATTCCTGCATCTTAAACAGGTGATTTTGGTCAGTTCTTTGTTGTTGGGTTTTTTTTTTGGTGGATCAGGGGTTTGAACTCAGGGCCTCATACCTGCTCTGGCACTCTATCATGAGCCACATCTCCAGTCCTAATGGAGTGATATTCAATATCTATATAGCATTTCTGTAACATTTGGGTTGTTCAGAGACAGCATTATTATTTTTGAGATAAGGAAAAAACAATAATGATTTATTTTTTCCTCAGTATTGGGGATGGAACCCAGAGTTTTGTGCATGCTAGGCAAGCACTCTCTGAACTACACCTCTAGCCCAGTAAATGACTTTTTAAAGAGCATCTAAGTTCTTTTTAAAAGTCAGATCAATGTCTTTACCCTGTGACGCAGGAGGAAAGGTACAGTCACGCATCACCTGGCAAAGGGCCCTCGGCTCCCATTGATGAATGCTTTGGGTGTAATGCAGACGGGCTGGTGAATCAGAGGAGAAGGAAGGTGGCCCAGGTTTTGTCCTCAATGGTGGGAACAGAGGTCAAGAGGAAAGAAAGGGGAAACTTGATAGCTTCCAGAGCCTTCCTTCCCAGGGGTAGAGAGTCCGGCACAGAGGTGTCGGGTGGCAGGTGGCGACCTGTCACGGGATCAGAGGCTTACTTTGGATTCCTTGTGAGTGGACATGCGGAGGAAGGTGAGGAAAACACTTCGGTGTAGGTGCTTCTGCATATCAGCAACCTCAGGGGTTGGGGCCACCCACTCGTCAAATTTTCGGGGGACATAGTGCAGGTAGGAGTCCAGGCACTTCTGCAGGGTCTCGTCGAAGATAACCTGAGCCAAGAGATGGAGTGGATCGAGGATTGATGGCTGAGGCCCAAGGGCTTGCAGGTAAACTGCATAGGGGCTCATTGCCCATCAGCCCTGGCCTACTGCAAACACTTCAACCCCAAGGGACCAAGGAGGTACAGATGAGCAGAGGGCTAAACACAAGTTTCTAAAAATGACACTCGGAAGGTGTGTAAACATCAAGACTGTGATAAGGACCCAGGGTAAGAAGTAGACAAAAAAGCACCTCCTAGGGGAAGAAAAACAACAACAGCAACCAACCACCGGCATGTCATGTGCTTTTGTCTTAGCGTGAATTTTGATAGAATGTTACCTGGCACCAGAATTTATCGTGAGGCAAGGCCAGGAGCCAGTCGAGGTCATTGGCTACGAAGGTGGCGCGTTCCAGGTACTCCTCCACTAGGGCGGGAATGTTGTCTTTAGGGGGCGGTTTGTATAACACAAAATACCGGTCTGCCTTCTGCTCGGGGTGCTACGGATCCAAAAACCACGTGTTAACGTGGCAGAGGTTAGTCAGCGAGGGCCCATTTGCCAACCCACAGCAATGACAACACTTGGCTTTTCCAACTGGTGACCCTCCAAGGAGCTTTTAAACATAAAGAACCAAGTATATCTAACAAAGGGGGCATGGTTGCACCCAGGGAACATGAGGAGGTTGTTAAAAACCATGTTTTTGGAGTTTTTAATGACATGGGGAAAGGTCAAGGGAAGAAAAAGCAGGATATAAAACTTTACTTAAGATAGTCAAGTGTTTTTTTCAAAGTGCATATATTCATACACTGGTACAAATTTTTGTTTGTTTTTTTGAGACAAGAATCTCACTAGGTAGCCCAGGCTGGCCTTAACTTGTGATCACTGGTAGAGACTTGAAAAAAACAAATTGTGGAGACAAAATCCCAAAGTTAATATGGTTATCTTGGAGGTGGGGTATTGCAGCTTCAATGTATTTTCCAATTTTTAAACCAGTAAACATGTATTATTTTTTGAATTAAGTTTTAATTATACAAGTAAGACACGAGCATCTTTGCTTTCAAAAACCTACCACGTGGACTGAGTGTGGAGCTCAGTACTCAGAAAGCATGCTTAGCAGGGGTGAGGGCTTGGGCTCAATACTCAGCATCAAAAAAGAAGCCATAAAAAAATAAAACAATGCTACAGAGAGGGTGAGTCACCTGGAACCTCCCAAAGGGAACCACTCCCCATGTGCTAAGGAGCCTGGCAAACCTTTTCCAAGCATTTACATTAAGACAGAGCCATATGAAGTATTTGATGGACTTTTTTTTTTTAACTTTTTGACACAAATGCACATATCACTGTTTTCTCTTTTTTATAACAGGAAAAAAATAAATCTCATTAATTTTTTAAAAGAAAAGATTCTGATCAAGTAGTGATAGGTCTCAGCTTAAGAGTCACAAGTCCTCTCGCCTGGTCCTTGTCCTGGTCATGCCATCAACAAACCTAACTTTGTTCACCATAAAGAAGAGAAGATGGGCTCGCTTTTCTCCCCTGACCACATGTGGGTGGCTTTCTCCGGGGGAATGGTAATAGAAGGAAGGTTAGGCAACGTCTCAGCCTGTCATCAACTAGTGCCCTGACTTCCAGGGCTGCTGGTCTGGGGGATATAAAACAATCAAGATTGATGGGTCAGTCTCCTGGAGAAGCACCTGGGCTTTCCATCTGCCCAATTCAAGTTTGCAAGCTGTGTGGAGTCTTTGGGTTCCACAGGCTCCATCAGGGCCATCTAGCATTCGCTCTGTGGGACTCTTTCCCATTCTGATCTGGTTTTACAGTGAGGTTCCAGGTACAAATAAATCTGCTGGAAAAAGAAGGCTGCTGACTGAAAGATATTCAAACATCTGTCTGGAGTCCAACTCCATCTGTCCGTCTTCCAAACTTCCCTCCTCCTCTCACTGCTGACACTTTGCATTTTAGGTCACTTCTTAGGCCAGGCTACTCATTTCTCTAACACACATTCAACACACACACACACACACACACACACACACACACACACAGAGCCAACATACACACACCCTGAGTTCCTACCTTCTTTACAATCCTACTAACATTTACTGGGCCCACACTGTGTGAGGAGTGAGCGCCCAGACCCACACAAGTGGGACTCCTACAAGTGCCACACTTCAGAGGGGAAGATGCACATCCACATCACCAGGGAAGCACTGAACAGAGGAAGTGACAGCTCAAACCTGACAGAAGGACCAAGGGAACTAACGGCACCTGAAGAACAAAGCATGGCTTCCCAGAGCGGGCAGTGTCTGAGCTAAGCCCTAGAGGAGGATAAGCATTTTTAAGCAGAAGAAAGCGTATGTGATGGAGACAGAAAGCACACAGACAGCACTGGTGCGAGAATATGGATCTGGGCCCTGTGCTGGCTGCTGAGCAGGCATGGCTCAAAGTCTATTTGTCAATTTTTATCTACAACTAGTTATTCTCTTCATTTTACAGAGGAGGAAATAAAGACTCAGTAGAATTCAAGAACTTTCCCAAGGTCTTGGGGTTAAGCAGGCAAGTGAGGCAGGCTTTGAAGCAAAGCTTACACTGCAGACCTTCTAAATGGCCTAGGGTACCCATGTGCATCCTGGTCTCACTGCTTGTCCTTCTGGCTTCTACCACAGCTTGATTAGAGTCCACCTGGGCTCTAACCACAGGACTGCCAAAAAAAAAAAAAAAAAAAAAAAAGGTCAAGTGTAGGTGATGAGGGGCCATGAATGGTCTCAGACCAGGGGAGCAGCTGTGTACAGTCCTACCCAAATTCATCCCACCTTTCACAGAGCCTGGCTTAGGTCCTGACTGCTCTGGGAAGCTACGAGAACATTCCCTGCTCATCAAACATCTGTGGATCTTGACAATGACACACTCTGCACTCTAGCCCATTCACCCATTCTAGTCCAAGACTACCTTTTGTGAGTCTTCAAGTATATGCTATTTAAACAGCAGCTACTCAATAAACACTAAGTGCTCCCCCATCACCCTGCAAAGGCAGTATGGTGACAGCTCGTTGGCCAGAGACAGAAAAGACAAATGCAGGGTGGGCACCTGTGTCAGGGCACTCTTTCAAGAGCTTGCTGCAGCCTGCAGGGAATGTTCTTTAGTATGGTCAACAAGACCCTTCCTCAATCATGCCGCTGTCACCCTCAATTCATCCCTCTTTCTACCCTTGCCCCCATACACTGCTGCTGCCACTGTGGCTGTTGATGTCACCATCATAACTGCAATTTACTGAGTGCTTACTATTGCCAGGCGCAGCACCAACTCACAGATACTCCATTTACCCTTACAGGTGCCCCACCAAGCTAGGCCTACTATTACCTTTTTTGGATCCTGAGGCTTAGTGAGGTCAAGCAACTTGCCAAATGTTTGTGAGATTAATGCCAAGTCTGTGCTTATCAGCGCTGCTATTCTGCTGCTACCTCTAACAATCTGTGGTTGGTTTAAGAGTCAGGCTCCCTCAAGACTCCAGCACGGCATCCTTGGGTTCTCCAGCCAGGCCCCCCTTCTGCCCTGCTCTGCCTGGTTAGTATTTATTACACCTTCAACACCCAGTTCAGAATGGCCCTCCTCCGGAAGCCATCCCTGGCTGCATGTGCCCTTCTGCAAGATGCCACAGTCCCACTGGTCTGGATCAGTGACCCAAGCTCGGCACTCAAGTCACAATCTAGCTTTCCTTCCATCACAACCCTGACCACACTGTCCAAAAGTCATGGGTCTGTTTTTCTCTTCGGTCAAGGCGCCCCAGGGGCAGCGATCTTTCCTCTTTGTAGCTCCAGAACCTGGCACTAGGAATGGCTTAGGTCCCTGACTCATTTACTGAACGTTTCCTGATGGCCTACTATGCACTTGGCACTGAGCCAGGAGTGAAGGGAAGGGACCAGACCTCCGCTCTCCCAGAGCCCACAGACAACAATCCAGCTGTTCATTTAGCACACAGGGAAGGACTGAGGCAGAAAATCAAACTCACAACCACGAAGACTCAACCACTCACTCTCCACCAGCACTGACCAACAGAACTTTCTGTGATAATGGAACGGCATTATCTCCATAGCACCTGGCCAGTGCAGTAGGCACTCACTACATGAGGCCATTTTCACTTATATTAATTAATTAAAAATCCAGTTCCACAGTCCCCATTTCAAGCACTAGTCACATCACATGTACTCAGCAACTACACGTGAACGGCCACCTATTGGGTGGCTACTATTCTCAACAGCATAGTTCTAGATTTTCTGACAAATATCCTCCACACGTAAAAAGTGTGTGAAAAGGAAATAAGAGGTTTTATAGCAGAAAGGTTCAGGGTATGAGTTCTGGGTCAGCCTGGCTTGGTTCCCATCCTGGCTCTCCTAATTTCCTAGTTAAACTCTCAGCGTCCTCATCTGTCAAATGAAGACAATTAAAACACCCATTCACAGGGCTGTGATGGGACTTAAATGAGATAATCCAGGTGAGGCATTTAGAATGGTTTGGCCCAGAGAGAAAACTCTAATTTTTTTAGTGTGTGAGGCACTATTGCTTCAGACCATTTAGGAAGTAACAAGAAGCCACCCAGAAGGCCAGAAATAAAACCCAGCTCCTGTTTCCCATGGCTTTTCTCAAACCTCTAGAAAACACTTCTTCCCACCTTATTCAAGTAAGCTCATATTCTTGGGAAATCAACAAGTGGGTACACGGACAGAGTCCCCAAGTCTGTCTCCTCCTTCAGTAGCCTGGCACCTCTCCCAGCTCTAATCTCTCTCTGCAGCTGGGAACCGGCAGGTTCACAGCCTCCTTGGTTTTCAGTCTCACAAGCTCTGGCGGAGTCTCTATGTGGCACTTCTTATCCCAGGTAAGATAAAAGACAGCCCAACCTCTGAAAATAGCATCCCCACCGAAGTGTGGGCAACGGCTTAGATTGCTCTGAAAAAATCCTACATGAAACCTGAACCCGCAGGGTCCAATCCCTAGATCCATTTCTAGCCCAGCTTGGGCTGACCCAGAATGGCCACTGGACTGACTGGAAATTAAATGCTTTTTAATTTTTTTGGTGGGGGAGGGAAGCGGGGTGGTGACATGGAAAATACTGCACACGTTCAGGCTGCTGCTTGGAAGGAAACACTAGGCCTGGAAAGGGACTAGTAGTGTCTCAGCTACCAAAATGACTGACCATGGCCCTGGGATCATTCTTGGAACAGATAAGAAAGGAATTTACTTTTGCTTCTGAAATTGCAAGACTGATAAAATCAGGCTGAATGGCCTCAAGGCACCGGCTCACCAGCGCTGGTGAAGTCTTTGGCTTTCCTGTCTTCGGATCCTTGCGGGTGATCTGGAGTTGGTCCAGGGGCAAAGCTGACATTGTGCTGTGTCGCCCTCCTGAAAGGAATATGGATGGGAAGAGAACAGACACAGAGTCCTGGGGACAGGGTCAGCTCTGGGGCTGATCCCAGAGCCACAAGAGAAGTGTCAGCCACTAGCCTTAGCGGGGGGAGGGGAGGGGGGTCCCCGATGTTGGTCTTCAAGGGTGGTTCATGCATCTATATAATGAAAAGTGATGTTTTCTAGATAAAGCAGTTGGTCTTAACTTGGAGGAAAAAACCTTGCAGGTGATTCCTACCCTGCTTGTTTGAGTACCTAGATTCTCTTTACTTTTTTTTTTTTTTTCCAGTGCTGGGGCCTCAAGCGTGCTAGGTAAGTGCTCTCCCACTGACACTCTAGTCTCCCTACAGTGTCTTTATTATGGCTCCAGCTCTGTGCAGTCAGTAGCCTGTGAGCTCTGAGGATACTGCCCGGGGCTCCCCTCCTCTTGCTGAGTTTCCCATGACCAGCCAAGCCTGGAACAGATGCGGTATCCGCAAATGTTGCTGTATGACTGACTAGGAGGACACCCTTCTCATAGCTCTCACCAGATCTTCAGCCTTTCCTTACTTGCAGACAGGGCAAGTGTTAAGATTTTATAGCCTCTCTACACTTCAGGAAAGAAAGGACATGATGAATAGAAGGACCAGGGAGGAAGAGAATTCATAGAAACCTGCCAGTACAGCTGCTTGCCACCGATGTGCAAACTGATCTGAAAACCAGGGAGTTGGGGCCCAGGGCAGAGCTTGGTGGTACAGCATATATGCTTAGCATACACAGGCCCTGGGTTTAATGCCAGCATTAAAAAAAAAGAGCCAGGGAGAGGTAGAACCCAGGTCTCCTGTCTTCTGGCCCAGTGTTCTTTCCATAATGCCACCTGGTCTGGCCCACAGGAGGGACACACTTGTCGGCTGAGTCATGGAATGAAAGACATGCCATTAAAACGCCAGCATGTCTCAATGACAATGTGAAGACAGATCAAAGCTGGGAGGAAGAACCTGTCACCTCCTGAGCCGTCGGGGATGAGGTAAGGGGCATGGCGAGCCATATATTACCAGGGTCTGCATACCTCAGACATCAGGCCAGGTGCTGGCGATGTGAAGAGACAGCCAAGGACACCAGCAGCATGCCTGTTAGATGCTGAGTGCTCTTCTAAGTGGTTTTCTCGATATTACCTTACTTTACCACATCGCCTTGCTTTACCTATGTCAATGCTCACAACACCAAGGTTGGTTCTATTATGACCTTCATGTCATCAATGAAGAAACAGAGGCTCAGAGAAGATAAGAAACTTGTTCCAGGGGTGGTGAAGCAGGCTGGTCTTAACCATTCACTATACTGCATTGGGTCATGTGGAGCTGAACTTGTGAGGTGGGGACCAGGAAACCCTTTCTAGAGGAAAGTCTAAAGAATCAGGAGAGGGGCTGGGAGTACAGTTCAGTGTTAGGATGCTTGTGTAGCATGTACAGGGTGCTAGGTTTCATCCCCAGCACTGCACATTAATCAATTAATTAAAAAAATCAGGAGAGCTTGAATCTTGAGAGTGGAGATTGGCCAGGAAAGAAGGGCACTTCACAGAAGAAACAGCAGAGGGAAGGAGGAAGCAGCTATGTACACAGGAATCTTGGTGCGCTGGTCTGGTTTCTGTGGGTTTTTTGGTGGTACTGGGGTTTTGAACTCAGGGCCTTGCACTTGTCAGGTAGGTGCTCTTCTTGCTTTAGGTATTTTTAATAGGCTCTTGAATTTATGCATGGCTGGCCTAGACCGCCATCCTATTTATGCTTCCGGTTGTAGCTAGGATGACAGGCACTGGGCTTGAGATGCGGTCTCTAATTTTTTTGCCTGGGTTGGCCTCGAACATCAATCCTCCTGATCTCTGCCTTCCAACTTGCTAGAATTACAAACATTAGCCATTGTGCTTGGTCTTGTTTTTGTTTTTTAAGAGGTGGGGTGGGGGCAGGCGCCAGCGGCTCACGCCTGTAATCCTAGCTACTCAGGAGGCAGAGATTAGGAGTATCGCAGTTCAAAGGCAGCCTGGGAAAATAGTTCATGAGACCCTCTCTCGAAAAAATCAATCACAAAAATGGCTGGTGTCTCAAGGTGTCAGCCCTGAGTTCAAACCCCCGTACTTCAAGAAGGAAAAAAAAGGAAAACAGGTGTGTGTGTGGGGTCTTGCTATGTTGCCCAGGCTGGCCCCAAATACCTGAGCTATCCTCTTGCCTCAGCCTCCTGAGCAACTGGGACTACAGGTACATGCCATGGCATCCAGGTTTATATATTATTTCTAATCAAATTACTATCTTAATAGTCACTTAAATATGACAAGGATTGTTACGGTCAGACATCCTGGAGGGGAGTGGGGGGCAGTTCCTAATTTGCTTAAGGCAAATACTTTAGTGGCGAAGTTGAAACTGATACCTCTTTCGCCTTCATACTTGGGGCTCTTGTGTGGAACATGCTAACATATACTTTTTTCCTAACCCACAGTGAAGCTGGGAGGACAGGTGAGAATACCAGTGGGCTGCACACCAGTGCAGAAGTCTAAATGACTCACAAGTGTAGTTCTTTCTAGGCTCATCCACCAGAAAGAGTAGTGGGAGTGTCAGGGGTAGAGGCCAAAAGTAGAGAAAGTCATGAGGAGGCAGCTCTCTACCCTTTAAATTCTAGGCCCCAGCATCCAGTCCTAGACAAGAGACAGAACTTGCTCCCAGAAGAAATTCACTCCTACAAGCCAGTGCCTGCAAGAGCAGGTCAAGTCAAGGCTAGGAGGTAGATAAAGAGAGCTTTGTAGTCCTACAGCCTAGGTTCAAGTCCTGGCTTCATGTTTTCCTTCACATGTTGAGGCCTTGAGAGCGTTCCTTAACCTCACTACCTTCAATTTCCTTGTCTGCAGTATCAGAATTATAATAACACAGGTTTATACATTTATATTATTTTTATATTGTAATAATGAGGGTGTTGTGAAAAGTAATTAATGCTAATGTATTATGTTCAACATAATACATAGCACGTAAGAATTCCATACAGTTCAGTTGTTGTCATTCAAGTTCTGACCACAGGCAGAGTGGGCATGGCTAGCAAGTTCAACACCCTGAGTTCAAACCCCAGTACTGTGGGGGAAAGAGGGAAAAAAAACAACAAACAAACAACAAGAAAAACAAAAAATACACTGACTGAATACATTTATGTTTTGGGATTATAAATGACTAACATTTGATGTTAGAGCTATAACAAGAAATTGCCAAAAGTGGAGCACAGAAGAGAAAGCGAGGAAATCACAGAGAAGGTAACCTATAACCTGGATTCTGAAACAACAGGAGGAAAAGGTGGACATTCCAAACAGAGAACAAACACGTGCAACGGCTCAGAACCATAAAAAGTATGGCTTTGAGGGCTGGCAGAGTGACTCAAATGGTAGAGTGTCTGCCTAGCAAGCATGAGGTCCTGAGTTCAAATCCCAGTACCGTCAAAAAAAAAGTGAAGACAAAAGAAGTTGAAAAGTGATAACAGGCTCAGTTTAAAAGGAGCCTCCAAGGCTATGCTAAAAATGTTAGCCTTTCATCTGAAGGCAGTGAGAAACCACTTAAGTAGGGAAGAGACATGATCAGGAAGACATAATCTGGTGGCAGGAGAGAACTCCTGAACCAGTGGAAAGCAAACACAATAGTGTTTTCAGAGTCTTTCCAACACCTACTATATGGCACGCACTGACTCCCAGAGAATATTAAAGTTGACAAATATCAGGCCTGGTCTTGCCCTTCACAGAGCTTACAGTCTTTACTGGAATGACAGATACAAATCCAACAGCCAGACAACAAGATAATCACCACCATGCTGTCTGCCGTATAGGTAAGGCCCAGGCAGCATTTAACAGAGACAAATGACCTAAGGGAGGGAGAATGTCAAAACGGATTTCAGTTTTCATCTAAAGTATGGGGAGAAACTAACTAGGCAAAGACTAGAGTTCAAGTTCCAAAGGGAAAAGATTAATGATCATGACTGTATTTGTGCCTACTTCTATACCTCTCCTCTCCCACCCATGGACAAGGCCACAGCAGCCAAAAACTAGGCTAGTGTTTCGCCTAGGAGGGGAGCTCGGTACACCAAGTATAACATGGCCGGTGAGCTTCCACTTGCCTCAGTTTCTCTAACCGCCATCACTCTTCTGGTCTCAATACAACACTACACTAACTGAAAATCTTCTCATAGTTACCGTCACATCTCTAATTATCCTGTGAATTTACTTGTCGTTGACTGTCTCCTCCATGAGGTCGAGAGCCACGTCTGTCTTGCTCTTTGTACCTCCAAAGCCTAGGTCTGTGCCTGGCACAGCCACAGGAGCTAAACATGTATTTGCTGAACGAATGAATGGATTCCTAGGAAACTGAAGCCCCGGGAGCAGGGGATGGGAAAAGGGGCTCGTCCAAAGTCAGTCTGGGGTGGAGCCTCGAACCCACGACTCCTGGCTCTGGCGATCTAGCCTGGAAGGATGGGGGCGGGAAAGGCTCAAGTCCTCTCGGGCAGCAGAAGCGTCGGCTCCGCCGTAGAGGCCGGGGATAGGGGATGCCGAGGATGCCCGAGGCACGGCCGCGGCTCCTCTCGAGCCCCAGACCCAGCATCCGGCAGGGACCAGCCACGAACTCACCTCGGCGGCTCCACCACCTGCTCTGAGCCGCCGCCGCCGCCGCCGTTCCCGGTGACAGCTCGCGGAGCGCTTGAACTTCCGGGGTCAAACGGCTATTCCGCAGGCGCAGACCGGAAATCCCGGCCCTGCCCCGCCCCCGGCGCCAACTGCCGCCGGGAAGTTGGGGCCGTAGCCACGCCCCCAGGCCAAGACCCCGCCCCCAAGAGGCGGCCTCCAAGCTGTAACCACGCCCCCGCCCCTTGGTAACCCCGGGGCGCGTTAAGAGATTTCTCATCTTGGAAAATCCAAGTAGGTACCAGGAGCAGCTTCTCAGAATCCCAGGCTTCCACCGCGTCAGCCATCGCTTTACAAAAGTAATCCAGAATAGAAGTTTTAACAAGTTAAAAGCATAAACATGATGTTGAGTACAGATTGTGATTTCATTTATAGGAAGTTCTAAGACAGTTAAAATTGAGTGGTGATGAGGCTGTGATGGTTTGTACCCCTTGGACTGGTGAACAGGGACGGCCCACAGATGAGGTTGGGGACATCTCCTGTCTTCATTTTGGTGGAAATTTGGAAAATTCATCAAATGGTACACTTAAGATTTGTGCACTTTTTTTTGGTATGGATGCAATACAACATAGCTTTTCTTTCTTTTTTTTTTTTCAATTAGGAAGGCTCAGTACAGCTATCTGAAGAGCAGGCCGTAATTTTCCCACAGAACATCTCAGATAATGTAGGGTTAGTGGTTTCCAAGTCTATGACAATGGATCAGAACCACCCCCAGAAAGCTAGTTAAAAATGGTCCCCCTGGCTGTGATAGCACACACCTGAAATTCCAGCACCGGAGAGGCTGAGGCTGAGGCAGAAGGATGGTGAGTTCCAGGTTAGCCTGGGCTACCTAATGAGACTCTGGCCAAACAAAACAAAACAGAAAAAAGAATACTCATTGCTGGCTTTATCTCAGTGCCTGGCACACAAGAGTTCAAAAACAACCATCACCATTATTATTGGGGTGTGGTGGAAGTCCTTAATGGAGCATACAGCCCAGCCCTGGGGAGTGTGAAATTTTACCCAGCACCCTCCAGGTGTCAGCCCCGCTACCTGTCCTGGGGCTACAAGAAATGAGCAGGGTGTCCCAAAGGAACTTATAAGAAAACCCATGAGGCAGCTGGAGGTATGTCTCAAGTGGTAGAGCACCTACCCAGCAAGCACAAAGCCCTGAGTTCAAACTCCAGCCACACACCCCCCCCAAAAAAAAGAAAAAGAAAAACCGATGAGGCAATTTGATCAATGCAACAAGCTAAGAAAGTGGAGAAATGAACTCTAATCCAGAAATGGGATGAGAAAGGTTTGCCAATTAGTTATATACTGATTGCTGCATAACCGATATACAGGTTATAACATATGCTTATTATTTCACATTTTCTGTGGGTCAGGAATCTAGGTGTGGCTTAGCTGGCTCCACTGCATCCAGATCCCCAAAGGCTGGAGTTTCATTGAAGGCTTAATTTAAAAAGTTTCCAAGTTCATGTGGCTTGGGCTGAGCTGTAGCCCAGTGGTAGAACACCTGCTTAGCATGTATGATGCTATGAGTTTCATCTCCAGCAACACGCACACACACACACACACACACAAAGACATACCAAGTTCCATGTTCCCATGGCTGTAAACCAAATTAAGTTTCTTGAACTTTGTTGGATGGATTTTGGTCAGAAGCTGCCCTCAGTTCCTTGTCACGTAGACTTTTCCAACATGGTAGCTTGCTTTATCAAAGCACAATGAAGAGATGTAGGAACATTTGTGAGGAAGACAGAGGTCACAATTGTACCTAACACAAAAGTGGTGCTATTGTTGCAGTGTCCTGTTGGTTAGAAGCAAGTCACAGGCTCTGCCCACACGGGATTACACAAGGGCATGAATTCCAGGAGGTGGGGTTGGTTGATGGCCACCTTAGTGGCCTGTCTCTTAGAGGACATCCATGTACCCCAGGTCTACAGCAGAGGAAGTAGAGGTGCAGGACGTAAAGGCAATTGTGACAGCAAAGAACACATTTATCATTCCTTCCTTCTGCCCAGGAGACAGACTATGCATTTCTCATATATTATTTCCTTGACTCTTTATAGGAATTTTAAGAGGTAAAGACGTTTAGAGACTAAACCAGAGACCTATCCCAGCCCTCTGCAGCTTCAGAACCTGTCCTCAACCACCACCACCACCTAAGACCTTATCAAGGACCAGAAGACAATTTTGTCAGTCCCAAGTCCCAGAAGAACTCTACAGCTAAGTGCCACAGGCTGGACAAGTGTGTATTTTCCCACATTGCTGTCATTTTTTTTAAGGCAATCTGATCTTCTATCAACCTGAAAGGGACAGAAACTCACATGGGGCACAAAGGACGTATGGTCTACATCTTGGTGATTGGTTTAAAGTAAAGCATGTGTTTGGTACCGGGAAAACTTAAAATATGACTTCTGAATAAAATTATGTATTGTTTCCATCTTTTTTCCTATAGGTACAAAGATATTCGTATCACTGAGGTTTTGGAGTTATATAGTATGACTATAAAAAACAAAACAAATCTAATAAAACAAAGCTCAACTACATCTTTTTCTTTTCTTCTTCTTTTTTTTTTTTTTTTTTTTTCCAGCAGGACTGGGGTTTGAACTCAGGGCCTCACATTTGCTAGGCAGATGCTTTACCACTGAGCCACTGTACCAGCCCTAGGTTTCATCTTTTAAAAAGATCAGCAATACTCATCTAGTCATCATTAGGAGGCTTACATGAGCTACTAAAGATAATACCAAGTTCATGTTAGGTACTCAAGAAATTTTAGTGGACAAGAAGGAAGAGATGGAGGAAGGAAAAAAGGTGGAAGGATCAGAGGCAATCCCTATTATTTGAAGTGTTGATCCTTACATTTCTTTTACTTTTCTCCTTTGTCCAAAGAGACAAAATGTGAACTTCCACAGGCAGCGTCCTGTCTAAGCTTGTATGTGTCCAACTGAAATGAAATTAAAAGGCCAATTTAACCGGAGAAGTCTCCAACCATGCATAAGTTAAACACAAATACAGAAGGATTTCTCGTCCTGTATCTTCCTCCAGATAAAAAGAAAAGCAACAACTACACTTGTTTTAAGAGCAAATATTTAGGCTGGCAAAGGAGGGTGCTTGTAACCAACCAAGTCTGGGGTAACTTGGATGAAAACTGTCAGTGATCAGAGCTAGGAAATCAGGACACGAACAAGTGGGCCTGAGTCCTGCCTGGCCTGGCCTGGACATTCTGAATCACCTTGGATGCATCAGTGTTGACTTCCTTTGCTCTAGCAAGTGTGTTTGTGGAGAACCATTGTTGAGCTTAGCCTCTGTACGACCAGCCAGTGTTTATTTCTTCTGCTTTTCTACCCATAACAATTTGATTGCTCCTAGGGAACCCTCCCCCCCACCTCAGTCTACATGGAGTGGGGTCGACTCCATACGCATTACTCTCCCTCATGTATTAGTGGCTTGCTGTCCAGCTCATGGTGCTATTGGAGGTGAAGGAAACTGTCACGGGATTTTAGTCTTTGGAGACATGCATGCCCTCAAAGGGATATGAGACCCCAGCCTCTTTTTCTTTTGATTCCTAACCATGTCAACAGTTGGCTCTGATATGCTACCACAGGGTCAAAACAAAAAAGCCACGGACTGAAATCTTCATTGTGTGAGCTGAAATAAACCCTTTCTCTCTATAAGTTGATTATCTCAAGTATTTGTCACAGTAATGGAAAGCTGGCTAACACACGCAGAATTTAGGGACTTAGATTTTTTTGTTATCCGTGCTATGCCACAAATCTTCTCAAAACACAGTGGCTTAAAACAGCAATAATCACTTTTGGTCTTGCACAGTCTGAGGGTTAGGAACTCCAGAGTGGCATGGCTGGATGGTTCTGGAACCATCCAGAATGATACAATCAGATGTCAGCTAGGACTCCAGTCAACTTAAAGCCTTGTTGTGAAGGATCCTCTTCCAAGGTGGACCAGCAACTCACATGACTGGCAAATTCGTACTGATTGTTGGCAAGAGGCCTCTGTTCCTGTAAGAGCACTGTTTGAGAGTGTCTCCACAACAAGGTCCCTGGTCCTCCTTTCCTTGAAACAATCTAGGAGGTCAAAGCAGAAACAGCAAACCCTTTATGACTCCACTTTAGAAGTCACACACCATCACGTCAGCCATATTTCTATTGGGATATGTCAATTGGCCAGACTCATGTTAGACTGATTTGGTAGACTTTTCTCATTCCCATTTTGCTTAAGCCACTTTGAGTTGGGCTTATGTTCTAGATGTTCAGTCCTTCTTATGCTAATTGGTCAGCACTTTTTAATAAAGATTACGATGGGCACCCAGTAGGGCAAGAGGATGAAGTTGCTAACTGCAGGATCTCAAGGAGTCGCTGGCACTACAAGTGAAGGCATGAGAATGGGGAGATGTTTACGGATTGAACTTTAGGACTTTGTACCTAAAAATTGGTGTTTAACTAGGTCAAGAGTGTCTAGGAGAGGTAAATTGTAAAGAGATTGGTTGGTTATGAAGTCTAATTATATATGGTAGATATATGTTGGTCCCATATATCCACTCTTATATATACATACTCACTGGGCAAAATTGAATACGTTGTTGCTTTTCTGAGTCTTCATGTCCTTATTTGCATAATAAATTATTCAATCTACTGTGATCAGTCAGCTAACATCCATTGAGCACCCACTATATGCCAGGTCCTATCAAAAAAGCAATAACAGGTGTCAGCTTCAAGGTTTTTACAGTTTGACCGGAAATATGAATATGGTTTAAGAAGTGATGTGATGGATAGACAAATGGTGTCTGAGGTCATAACGGGAATTCATCTCACACGATTGCATATGCATAGACTTTCTGGATGGGAGGCTGTTTAACCTGAGTTTAACTGACAAGTTAGAAGAGCATAACAAACAAGGAACACAACTAAAACAAGGTAGCCCACTGGGGAAATTGTCTACGTGGGCATAGCCTAAATTCCAGAGAAGGAGGAGATCTCAAAGAGACTTGGTCAGATTACTGAAGGCTTTGTGGACTATGCCAAGGAGGTGATGGTGAGGAAGAACCAGGAGGGTTTGAGTAGAGTGGAGAAATTTCAGAAAGGTATTTTAGGAAGGTGGTACCATTAACCACGAATGGTAGCAAGAATGTAGCTAGGCCTGTATTGCAGTAATATGTTGATGTATAGGTAGCTTAAACTTTAATGGCTTACAAAGATTTATCATTTGCCACAGTTCTGTGAATTAGCTGGGCTCGACTGAGCAGTTCTGCTCCATGAGGTGGCAACTGTGTTTACCAGTTGGCTGGCCCGTCTTCACGCATGTGTCTGGTATGTGCCAGTTGGGGTGGCTGGAACGGGTGGAAGCTCAGTGGCTCTCTCACCACCTGGCTTCTTACCATTTGGTACTCTAGTTCAGTGACTGTCACATAGACAGGATTTTCTCCCACAGCGGACACCTGGCTATATCTAGAGACACTGTGGTTGTCATAACTGGAGCATCTCATAGGTAGAAACTAAGGCTGTCGTTAAACATCCTATAATACACAAGACAGCCCCCAGCACAAAGAATTATCTAACCTGAAATTTCAACAGGGCCAACACTGAGAAACAGTGGCCAAGCCTGTGTTTTCACATGGCGACTTGGACCCTATATTCATCAGTTTTATTGTCACTGAAAGCAGATACCTGACAGAAATGACTTAAAGGAGGAAGGATTTATTTTAGCTCACAGTTTCAGAAATTGCAGTTCATACTCGTTGACTTGATTGATTCTGGGCCCATGGTGAGCCAGAGCTTCACGACAGCAAGAGCGAGTGGAAGAGGCCAGCTGTTCACCTTGTGGTGGACAGGAAGCAGAAGGGACAAGGAACCAGGTAGAACCTTCAAAGACATGTCCCCAATAACTAACCTACTTCCTCCAACTAGACCCCACCTTCCTAAAGTTTCCAGAACCTCTCAAAATAGTACCACCAGCTGGAGACCAATCCATAACAGACCCCAAGAACATAAAAAGAGAAGCTGCTCTGGAACTCACATGACGTCACTTCCTTCACATCCCATTGGTCAAAGCAAGTAAGGTGGCCAGCGTTGATTCAAGGGAGAGAAGAATTGGTCCTGCTCCCCATCTGTGTGCAGACACCAACCTACTTTCTATCTCTATAGGTTTTTGGTGACCAATCTACCAAAGTCAGGAAGACTACTGAGTGAAAGACGTTTGTGTGAGACTGAAGCTGTTTGTGGATCAGGCAAAGGTGTGTCCTCATGAGAAAATGAAATCATGGCAGTTGAAAACGCTCTGCAAAGTGTTTCATAGATAATCTAGTTTCATAATCCACACTGTCCCCAACCAGCAACTGCTGTCCCCAGCAGTTTTTCATTAAGCCAAACTCTCTTTCACTAGGCCTCTGCTCAGTGTCTACCCTATCCCGCTGCCCTCTGTCAAGTTCAGCAAAAGCTTCTGCTGACTCTGGAAGAATCTAGAGATTGACCACTGCAGTGAAAGTCTCAAAGCATCCCCTGGGGCCCCTAATCACAAAACATCTGCTTGTCATTCTCCCCTGTCCCTCTGGGTTTTAGTGAGAAAACTGCTTTCAATCTCAGTAATGACGACTTAAAAACCAGGCCTCCTGGCTTCTAAGAAGACATCTTTAATTTGTAGGGTGCCAGTTACCCCCTCATTATAATTTGCCAAATAGTGGCTTGTCATGCCTCCTGTCACCAATCTGTGAACAACAGAAAGATGAGAAAAACGTCCACGTTAAGAATCAGAGGGTGGTGGGTCCTCAAGGGGAAGAAGCAGCTTAGGGAATGTATGATTCAAACCGAGAGGATGGATCTGCCCAGGGTCACCTGCAGTTGCAGAGTGGCAGAATGGGCACTGCCACTGAAGTCTCCATGCTGGCTGGCACCTAAACCCCTCTCCCAGAGCGATGAAAGGTTAGCCCTGTCTGCCCTGTGCCGCCTGGAGTCTCTGCACTCAGACCACCCATCAAAGTGGCAATTGGTGTGTCCTGGTTTTTCCATAATTATCGGTGTGAGGACAAGAGAGCCACAGAACCAGGAGGTGGAAACAGTTCCTCTGGGGCGCTGGGACGGGGAAGACATGGTTTCACATCAACATTAAATACTTTTGCTGGACCATGGTGGCTCACCCCTATCATCCAGCTACTTAGGAGGCTGAGATCAGAAGGATTGCAGCTCGAGGCCAGCCTGGAAAATAGTTCTTGAGACCTGCATCTCCAAAACAACCAGAATAAAATGGACTGGAGGCATGGCTTAAGAGGTAGAGCACCTGCTTTGTAATCTTTTTTATTTTTTAGTTTTTGCGGAACTGGGGTTTGAACTCAGGGCCTACACCTTGAGCCACTCCACCAGCCCTTTCTTGTGATTTTTGTTTTTTGAGATAGGGTCTCAAGAACAATTTGCCTGGGACTGGCTTCGAACCGTGATCCTTCTGGTCTCTGTCTGCTGAGTAGCTGGGATTACAGGTGTGAACCACTGGTGCCCGCCTC